AACTTCGTCATCCCTACAATATAATTCTTAATTCCACTTTTCGATGCACCACCACCTCCGCACAGAACCAGTTGAGGCGATTTTCCTAAAGATAACGAACCGGACAGCACATTAACTTGTTTCCCTCCGTAGGAAGGAAGGGCAGATAAAATCCGTCATACAGTACACGGGAGAATCGAAGGCGATCTGTCTTTCAGTCATTTACAAAAAACAATGGGATTCTTTTGGATATCAAACAAACACGTTTAGAAAAACCATCCACGCTGGTTGAGACCAAAATTCTTCTCCATCTGGTCGGATTCCTCCGGGCTACCCATCACCTCTTCGTTCCACGCCTACGTCATCTCTAGCAGCTGCTCCACCACAGGAGCGATCTTCACCTTCTCCGACTTTGTCGAATCACACAGGAACTTCACCAGCGTGTGACGCATGTACTGCATGTTCTCTGAAACGCTGATGATCTTCATTTGCTTCATATCTCCTTCCAGCTCCGCAATATACTTATTCTTCATCTCCACCTCCTGCTGCAGACTCTCCACTTTGCTACGCCTCACCGCCCCATTCCAAATAAAAACTCCGAGTTTTGCTGGCAGCTTCGTTTCACTTCTTCCAACTCCGATCGCAGCTCCTGGATGATTTTATGCGGCAGTTTGTACATCCCTCTACACCTCACAAAGCGAGACGGAGCCTACAAGCTGGTCTCGTCCACGCTGTTGGTGAGTGAAACCAACACGCGATCGCTTTCGCTTTCGACTTCTTTTTGTGAGTTTAAAAAACAAGGCAAAACGATTCAAACGCGAGTCGCTCGACGCAGCGAGCGATCGCCGAATCACCGTCGGCATAGCCAGGCTCGCCGACGGCTCTTCTCTCTCCACAGACACTTCTTCGGACGCTTCTTTGGACGGAGAAGGCGACCGGGCTTGCTGTTTTCGCGGGATTACCACCACCGAGTCCACCGAATCGATCGATTTCACGGCGGACTCCGCGGTTTTCTGGATGAGTTGGCTGATTTCGGAGCGAAGCTGCTGGACGGTGCTGCGCAATTCCTGCACGTCGCGCTCGCGAGCATCGTTGAGGTCCTGCTCGGCCTCGATCACCGCGTTCAGCTCGTCGATCTCTTTGCTCTTCGCAGAGAGCGAGGCCTCTTTCTCAGCCAACGTCTGCTCCAAGTCGCGTTTGCTGGCTTCCAACTGCGTCAATCGCGCCGTCGAGTCCGCCAATTGCGTTTGCAAAATCTGCAGCTCGCTGGTGGAATCGTCGGATTGCTGCTGCACGCGCTGCTGGATCGAAGCGAGCTCCTGCTGCGCCTCGGTGAGCTCTCGCTGGAGCTTGGCGATCTGCGCCGTGGCTTCTTCGTTTCGCTCTTGAAGCAAAAGCGTCGCGGCTTTGGTTCGCTTTTTGTACGCCTCGAACGACTGCGAAACCTGCTGAAGCTCTTTGAGCGACGATTCTTTCGAGACGTCGGCTTCCATCGAGAGACGTTTTGTGAGCGAGGAAAGCTCGTCAGGAAGCGGAGTATCGGGGAAGGCGGTGAGGAGCGTGGATTCGTAGACCCATTTGCGAACGGTTTCCGTTTTGTCGTCGGATTGGTGAGTGAAGCAGACGAAGACCCAGGACGTTGCGCCTTCCTGCGTCGAGGAACCGTCGATTCGAAGGCGATAGAGCGGCTGGATAAGAAGCTGCGAATCGGCGGGGAAGGGAAGCGTCGATGCGTCGGCGAACGTGCGAAGCGAAGCGTTCTGAGGGTTAGAAAGAAGAAGAGAGAAGGAAAACGTCTTTTTCGAGCTGGTCGAGTTTCTTTTGAAGCTGTGAGAGAACGACGACGGTGCGGGCTTCGCCTTGCTTTTTAATGGCCAATTCGTCGGTCATGGATTCTTTGAGCTTCGCAATGTGGCTCTAAAGCATAAGGAATATACCAATATGTAGATGTACGAGTTGGTTTTCTTTATCGGACACTTGATCCTCGAGATTTTTCTACCATTCAATCGAAATCAAGAACGAAAACGATGTTGGCTTGCAGGGTTTTAATCATCGTTCCGAGCTCTGCAATGACTTGCTCTTTCTCGCGAAGCGTTCGATCCTTTTCTAGCATTTCGTCGGAGTGATGGCTCAGCTCTTCCTTCATTGTGATTACCGATGCGTTTAGATTGGAGATTTGGCTTTGAAGCTGGGATTTCTCGCCTTCTAACATCAAAATGCGATCACTGAATTGATTCTGAAGATAAAAAAGCAAGAAGTCAATGTGTACGTTTTCTTTCAACACTTTTGTCGATTTGTTGATCAGTTCTTTCATTCGCGATTCTTGAATTCGGCTATTCATCAAGCCTTCGATTGACGTGTACCTCGACTTCAATTCTTCTTCCACGGAGTTCAAACGCGAACCGAGCTCTTTCTTTTCTTGCTGAAGCTTCGAAACTTCTTCATGAAGACTTTGATTCTCTCGCGATAAGGAAGCTGCCTTATCGGCTTCCTGCGTAAGACTCTGTCAATGAAACAAAAGAAGAATGGAAACCTCGATGGACTCTTCTTTCTGACGAAGGGCTACAATGAGCTGATCGTTTGTCTCTGCGAACTGGGAATTTGCGTCTTGCAATTGGCTCTAGGATTGAAGGAAACAGTGGAGAAGAACGATTGTAGAGACTTGTTCTTGGACCGTTGCAGATGAAGAAGAAAGCTGCGCAGATAAATTCGATATTTCTGCTTGATTTTGTTCCGTAGTTTTGTTCAAAGATTCATTTTGGTTCTTCAATTCAGCAATTTCATTTTCCTTGGCATTCACACTCTCTTTCAATCCTTCGATTTCTTTCTTCAATTCAGCGATCTCATTCAATAATGATGATTCTTTATCAGAATTAGTACTCTGAAGAGATTCATTTTGGTTCTTCAATTCAATGATTTCATTATCTTTCATGCTCACACTCTCTTTCAATCCTTCGATTTCTTTCTTCAATTCAGTGATCTCGTTAGATAGTGATGATTCTTTATCAGAATTAGTACTCTGAAGAGATTCATTTTGGTTCTTCAATTCAGCAATCTCATTCTCTTTCGAATTCACATTCTCTTTCAATCCTTCAATTTCTTTCTTCAATTCAGCGATCTCGTTAGATAGTGATGATTCTTTATCAGAATTAGTACTCTGAAGTGATTCATTTTGGTTCTTCAATTCAGCAATCTCATTCTCTTTCGAATTCACATTCTCTTTCAATCCTTCGATTTCTTTCTTCAATTCAGCGATCTCGTTAGATAGTGATGATTCTTTATCAGAATTAGTGCTCTGAAGAGATTCATTTTGGTTCTTCAATTCAATGATTTCATTTTCCTTGGCATTCACATTCTCTTTCAATCCTTCGATTTCTTTCTTCAATTCAGTGATCTCGTTAGATAGTGATGATTCTTTATCAGAATTAGTGCTCTGAAGAGATTCATTTTGGTTCTTCAATTCAATGATTTCATTTTCCTTGGCATTCACACTCTCTTTCAATCCTTCAATTTCTTTCTTCAGTTCAGCAATCTCATTCAATAATGATGATTCTTTATCAGAATTAGTACTCTGAAGAGATTCATTTTGGTTTTTCAATTCAGCAATCTCATTCTCTTTCGAATTCACATTCTCTTTCAATCCTTCGATTTCTTTCTTCAATTCAGTGATCTCGTTAGATAGTGATGATTCTTTATCAGAATTAGTACTCTGAAGAGATTCATTTTGGTTCTTCAATTCAGCAATTTCATTCTCTTTCGCATTCACATTCTCTTTCAATCCTTCGATTTCTTTCTTCAATTCAGCGATCTCATTCAATAATGATGATTCTTTATCAGAATTAGTGCTCTGAAGAGATTCATTTTGGTTCTTCAATTCAATGATTTCATTATCTTTCATGCTCACACTCTCTTTCAATCCTTCAATTTCTTTCTTCAATTCAGCAATCTCGTTAGATAGTGATGATTCTTTATCAGAATTAGTACTCTGAAGAGATTCATTTTGGTTCTTCAATTCAGCAATCTCATTCTCTTTCGAATTCACATTCTCTTTCAATCCTTCGATTTCTTTCTTCAATTCAGTGATCTCGTTAGATAGTGATGATTCTTTATCAGAATTAGTACTCTGAAGTGATTCATTTTGGTTTTTCAATTCAGCAATCTCATTCTCTTTCGCATTCACATTCTCTTTCAATCCTTCGATTTCTTTCTTCAATTCAGCGATCTCATTCAATAATGATGATTCTTTATCAGAATTAGTGCTCTGAAGAGATTCATTTTGGTTCTTCAATTCAATGATTTCATTTTCCTTGGCATTCACACTCTCTTTCAATCCTTCGATTTCTTTCTTCAATTCAGTGATCTCGTTAGATAGTGATGATTCTTTATCAGAATTAGTACTCTGAAGAGATTCATTTTGGTTCTTCAATTCAGCAATCTCATTCTCTTTCGAATTCACATTCTCTTTCAATCCTTCGATTTCTTTCTTCAATTCAGCGATCTCATTCAATAATGATGATTCTTTATCAGAATTAGTGCTCTGAAGAGATTCATTTTGGTTCTTCAATTCAATGATTTCATTTTCCTTGGCATTCACACTCTCTTTCAATCCTTCGATTTCTTTCTTCAATTCAGCGATCTCATTCAATAATGATGATTCTTTATCAGAATTAGTACTCTGAAGAGATTCATTTTGGTTCTTCAATTCAGCAATCTCATTCTCTTTCGAATTCACATTCTCTTTCAATCCTTCGATTTCTTTCTTCAATTCAGCGATCTCGTTAGATAGTGATGATTCTTTATCAGAATTAGTACTCTGAAGTGATTCATTTTGGTTCTTCAATTCAGCAATTTCATTCTCTTTCGAATTCACACTCTCTTTCAATCCTTCGATTTCTTTCTTCAGTTCCTCGGATTCTTTGTCCCATTCTTCTTTTTGATTCTTCAATTCCAGAAGATGTTGATTCTCTTCTTTCTACCTCTTACATTGCCAATCGATTCCGTACCTGCTTACCGATCATCACCTTCGCCTTGGCCAAGAGCACTTTGAGCTCCTCCACTTTCTTCTTTAGTGATTCCAACTCTTCGTTTTTCCCTTTCTACAAAAATAAAACCAAGCCAACAAACCAACGAGAAGTTCGTCGTTCTTCTCTGCCTGCTGACGAAGCTCATCATTTACCGATGACTAGCTATCAAGGACAATCTCTGATCTTACAAATAACGTTGTTTTCTCCTGGATCAGTGTAGATATTTGCATCTCCGCATTTTCGTTCTTCTCGACCAGAAGTTTCTATTGTTTAGGCTTATACAACTTCAGTACATAATTCTCTTGGAGACTGGACAGCTCCTTAGACAGTTGCTAGGGATTAACGGTCAGCAATATACTTACTTCATTCGAACTCTTGAGCTCGTTCATTTCCTTTGATGAAGCTCCCTATTCATGTTAATCTGACACAACATTATACAGCTTCCTCTTCCAACGTAGCTATTTTCTCTTTCAGCTTAGCCTCGGATTCTTCATGCTGTTGCTACATCTAAGCTATATTTCCAAGCCATACAATCCGTTGCTTCATCACTGTAGCTACTCGCTTCAGTTTCTCATAGTTTGTTCTCTACACTCTATATATTCCGTTCAACAATCTACCAAATCTTCCGAAACGGTTGTTTTCTCCATCACGTTCCTTGGTTCGTTTAAATAGTTTAGGTATCTACGATGCCACTATAGAACTTGATGGTATTTACTGTTTTTAGTTGGATCAGATGTCCTATTTTTTCTGGAATTCCAGTATTATTTTCTTTTTTGATGGAGCAACCAGGAACTGGTAGGATTTGAAAGGGGGCTGAATTCTTTGTCTCACGGCATTTTAGATCAGCAAAACGAGACATCTTTTGTCATGAGTACTTTGGTTTGTAATGCTTCCTTATGAATTAGGTGATGTCGACAAATCTGCTTTTCAAATTGCAACGACTGAAACCCTCACTCAGAGTATCAACTTTGTAAATGAAAGGTTTTTTCTATATTATACACTTGACTTGAAAGGCTCGAAAGTATGGGTCTCGGATCGGGTCTCAAGTTCGATTCCGCTGAACCCGATGAGGTTGTCAAGATAGTAAACAGTTTCTACATGCTTCTCGAAAGAATTCGACTCCAGAAAAAGCAGTTGGAAGAAGTAAAACAGTTCCTTGCCTCCCATCCATAGAACCGCGCTCAAGTTCGTCGCCTCCAAACCGAATCCGAAGTATTGTATTGTGTGTAGAATAAACAAATCAGCGTCTCACCCAAGAAAAGCAGCAAATCACTCGTCAACTCCAGCAAGCCCGCGAAGTACCTCTTCTTTTTTTCTTTTTTTATTCTCTTTCAGACCCATTCTCGCGATCAAACGCAATGGCAAAGCGACCTCCGCGCCCAGCAGCGCACACAGCAGAGTCTAGAGCAGCAGCTGCAGGAGTCGCGCAAGCGCGCGAGCGAAGCCATCAACCGTTTTAACGTGCAATCGGTCACAATGAACCAGCAATCCAACGAGATCGGAGCGCTTCGCCAGCGCCTCACCAAAGCCATGCGCAGCCAGCCTGCGCGACGACATGTTTTCAATATGGGCGGCGACGAGCCGGACGAAGTGAGCGCGGCAAACGAAGATTCCCGCGTAGGTGGTCATCGATACACAGAAAAGCTTCCAGGAGAAGATCAGCACGGGCTACGAGCAGCAGCTGAGCGTTCTGCGAAGCCGCGTTGCGGAGTTGGAGCGGATTCTGCAGGAAAATCAGGGAATTGTTACCGTTTGCCGCCTTTTTTTCTTCGCCTTATAGGTAGAATATGATGGAGAAGCAGAACCAGGTGCTGCAGAATCTGAACGCTACGCCTGTGAGAGAAGTGTTTCCGGCCTCAGCACAGAAGTCTTTCTGCGCTACACCCCAGATTCGTGAGATGCACGTGGTTGGTGAGACATAGGCTGCGTGAGCTTGTTTGGAGGCGGAGAAGACGTGCAGACGTACGCGCAGAACAAAATGAGCCAGTTTGAAGCGCAGCTGCAGAAGATCGCGGAGGTGGGAGAGGACTATTCGAGCGAAAAGCTGCGGGGATTGCTGAGGGAGGCGAACGACGTCATTCGCGAGCAGCTGACGCTCTTACACACGTTAGTGGGAAATCAATCGAAGGGAGATGCACTCTCGTTTTTGGAAGAAAATTCGTCGTCTGAAGAAGACAAGGCCATGGAGGAAGACACATTACAGATAGAATCGGGTGTTTGTTGTAATAAAAAGAGGGCGTGACAAAAATGAAGAATTCCCGCTTTCTGAGAAGTGAAAGCCATAGTTCACCTCTCTAGAAGGCTAAAAGCGTCTCCTGACGGACGTCCTTTCCTCTTCTGTCTGGACTGATATAATTTTTTCTTCTTTATTGCGATTATTACCAAACCAACACTCAAATGAGTTTAGAGCAGGAGGACGGAGAAATCCTAGATCAGACTGATTTAGATGCCATTCGGCTATTATCTCCGCCGAATAACAGTACATCCAAAATCATTGAGCTCCGTCCATTAGTATCTCGAAGAAAACCTACAATTGAAGAAACACTGCGCGAGGCAGTGTCCCAATACATGGAGCAGGCTCCGAAGAAACCTGGAGAGGTACCTGTTTACGACTCGGTGAATAGTAGGGAGTGGCAGCTCCGATCTTGCCGATTGTTCCTATAGACCAATTGAACAACTATTGTTGGAAAGATTGGGAAGAGTGGTATCAGAGTTGTAGAATAGAGGTGGGCTAACCTGTAGCGCTCACAGAGGCTGAGAGACGACCCCTTGCAAACAGTTTGCAGACCCGCATTTTCTCCTTGTTGCTTTCTCATCACCCTCAGATGCCAGTCGTTTTTGCGTGTATGATGGGTTCATCGGACAAAAAAGTTCTTGAGTGCTGTGTGAAGTGGCCCCAAACGCTCTCTTCTCCCCCTGTACTGGAGGGAATTTCATTTGAAAACATAACAAATATGATCGATTTCGATCAATTCCGAGACCAACTTCTTTCTGCGTTGGATAGTCATGGCGACACAACGCTTCAATTCGTTCTTCTTGTTCATGGATTGAACAGCTCCATCTTAAAAAGTCTTGAGCTCAATTCTTATCCATCCCTTTGTATTCGTGACACAAATCGATTTCCACTTCAAAAACAAAGCAATCATATTGCTGGGATCGTGCACGACTTGTTCGTGAGTCCCAATACCAAGATCACGCTTTCAAACCCAGAGCAACTGCTCGATCAGTATCTTCTTTCACATCTTTTCATTTAGATACATCAAACCGCTTCAGCTGACTGTCAAGTGGTTAGACATCCCCATGAATAGCGAACCCACATTGAAATGGGTGCGATTCGACCTGTTTCATGAGAATCGCTTGTGCATGATGGGTTATGTGTGTGTTTTACCTTGTTTTCATTTTAGTGCATCGCTCATAAGAACGAAAAATCACGAAAGCGAGAAGCGTTCGCCCTGCTTCACCAGTTGTGGGGAGATATCACGCCTCGACTTTACTACGCACGACCTTCTGAAAAAGAGAAAGAGATCTTGGAGCATTTTCTCCAATGTAGCACATCGTCCGGAGTCCATGAGTCACTAGGTGCATTCAAACGAATACCACAAACCTTCCAGGAGGCGACAGGCCTGCTGCTTCACATCTACCAGTGCAAAAAACGAGAATTTGAATTCAGCATTCAATCGTTGACCAACAAAAGCGTCCCGAAAGCGACTGTTTCTCCCACTGTTCCCAATCGCGCGCAGTCGACTCTCCCAGACATCACGTCTCCGCCTCCCTCCACGCCACTCCCCGAAGTCACGGTCCTTCCAGAGCTGAATAGTCGAACGGAGGTGAAGTTCTTGGGCGGAAAGAAGCTCATTCTCATCATCGATCTGGACATGACCTTGGTCCACGCGATCCACGAAGAAGAAAGCATCGGTCTGTTTCTGAACTGGCTCCACGGAGCCTCCGAATCCAACGAGGAGGATGAATGGAAGAAAACGCTCAAGGACCAGGTCCATTCCATCGAGTTGTTCTACGTGGACGACAATGGAAGCGCTCGCATGTCGAAGCTGCTCATCAAAATCCGGCCGGGCGTTCGCGCAATGCTTCAAATGCTCGCGAACTCCTACGAGATGATCGTGTACACGCAGGGAGAGAATCAATACGCCGAGAAAGTCATGCAGATCGTCGACCCCGATAAGTATTCTTTGTTTTTGACAGCGTGAGTCGTAGCACATTATTCAAAAAGCGGTTTATCGCGCGCGGAGAAACCCGAAATGAGCCGCAGAAGAAGCTTCTCTCGAAGATCGTGGATTGCTGGAACCAATACGTGCGAAAGCAGAACGTCTACGACCCCGCCAATCCCACGCCCGAGTCGCTTCCGGAACTGACATTAGAGGAGATGTGTCGACGCCTCTTGATTCTGGACGACAAAGACGAAGTGTGGGGAATGCACGAAGAAAGCGGAATGATTCTGAACCCCACGAGCAGTCTCATCAAATGCTTCCCGTACGTCTTCTTCGACACCAAATCCGATCTGTACAACTTCGAGAAGCTTTCCGCGTATGAAGGCGTCGAGCAGCAATACATTCTCCGTCTCAGCGAGATCTTCCGCGACATTCACCAGACCTTCACGCTCGAGAACGCGGAGGACGTCCGCAAGACGCTCCGCGAGCGGAAGCACAGCGTGTTCCACGGCCTCCACATGGCGTTTACGAGCATCATGGAGATCACGGAGAAGGTGGAAACCAACGTTCTCTACCGGTCTCTCGTCGATTTCGGCGGGGTCTACATGTCCGAAGTCACCGAGGAGTGCGATCTGCTGATCTGCCGCACCCTGCGAACCGCGAAAGTGAACAAGGCGCAGCTGCTGCGGATCCCCGTGGTATCGGTGCGATGGCTCGAGGAGTGCGTGAAGTTCTGGAAACTGGCTCCGCTGGACCTGTTTTATATGGATTTCGCGCAGGACGACGAGCAGAGGCCGCTGTTCGGAAAGGTGGCGATCGACGGATACCACAATGCGATGAAGCTGCAGGCGGATACGCGCTTGTTTACGGTGACGGAGCCGCCGCGATCGTTTTTGGGGACGGAGAATACGAAGCGAGCGGCGGTGCTGATGGAGGATTTCGACGATGTGGTGCTGAAAGATATCGAGTTTATGGACAAACGAGTGAATGAATCGCCAATGACGCGCAGCTCGCCGGCAGTGAAGCAGTTCTCTCCTTTAGTAAATGTATCATTATAATGGACTCTGCGTGTTTTTTTGATGAAACAAACGATTGGGAAGAGGGGAGGAGAGATGTGGATAAGTGTCATCGTGCTTTACGAAGGAAGGATTTGTGTAGAGATGAAATAGAATTTATTATTATTATTATTATTATTATTATTATTAACCCTTTCTTCAATTGGAAATATCAAAAACCATCGAAATGATAGAAATGGAAACATCGATCGATCGTTATCGAAGTGATTCTGTCCTTATTTCCTACCCTTTTCCTTCAAAACAAACCTTCTTCCCTATACGAATCGATTCCACTCAAACGCCTGCTGCTTCCCGTCCCTCTCCACACAAATCGCTCCTCCCAATCCCTCCTCATCTTTGCTACAACAAACACTTCAATACAGACTAAACCCCGATCGCGCCAAATCCTTCGTGATATTCTTCTGATGCGCCTCATTCGTTCCTCCCCCGATCTCCAGCAACTTCGCATCGCGCCAGAGCCTTTCCACGACGCCTTCCCCCACATATCCATATCCGCCCAGCACTTGAATCGCGTTATCCGCCACCTGCTTCCCCATCGGTCCGCAGAACAGTTTCACCGCGTCCGTGTCCATCCGATTCCCCGGCTTGAACAGATCCAACCCGTTCGCCACGTTGTACAAGAAGCTCCGGCCCGCCTGATACCCCGCATACGACTCCGCGATCAGCCTCTGGATCTGACCGAACCGGTTGATCGGCTGGCCGAACGCCACGCGCTCGCCTCCGTACGCGTTCATGACCTCGATGCACCGCTTCGCGATCCCCACCGATTGCGCGGCAAGCGTCACGCGCTCCATCTCCAGATTGCGCATCTATTTCTCACCCTTCTTTCTCTCTTTTCTACCATACACAACGCCGCTTTGCCCTCCTCGCCGATCCGATTGCACGCCGGAACCTCCACATCCTCGAAGACAAGTTCCGCCGTGCCGGAGGATCGCATTCCCAGCTTGTTTTTGATCTGCTGGCCCAGAGAGAACCCGCGCATTCCCTTCTCCACCACGAACATCGACAGCTTCCCGTCCGTTTTCGCGTAGACCAGAAACGCGTCGCCCAATTCTACGTGGAATCCCCGCGGGAAAACGTACCTCCGTTAATGGCGCCATTGGTGATCCACATCTTCCGTCCGTTCAGAATATAGGTGTCTCCTTTCTTTACGGCGTTGGTTCGCATCGACATCACGTCCGTGCCGCCGTCCGGCTCGGTCATGCACACGCCGCCGATCTTGTCTCCGGCACACATTGCGGGGAGGAAGCGGCTGCGCTGCTCGTCGGTAGCGTTGATGTAGAGGTTATTTACGAACAGAATGGAGTGAGCTGGGTGGAATTAACAGGGAATGGAGTACCCAAGTATGCGAGTCCGAAACCAGGATCGGAAGTCGAAAGCTCTTCGTGGATAATCACAGAAGCCGTAGCGTCCATACCGCCACCTCCAAATTCCTCGCTTACTGTGGGGGCGAGAAGTCCCAATTCTCCCATTTTTCTATTGATGAAATAGCGACACAGAAAGTACTTGAACAAACCCATATTGAATGCTTCATTGTTGTTGTACTCCAAAGCTTGAGGTTCCACTTCATTTTTCACAAAATCTTGGATCTGAATTCTGAGAAAGCGGAAATACAAATACCATTTCCCGAAGCATCGCATGTTCCTCAGTTGGGTTAAAAAGAGTCGGTTTAAAAGCGGGCTCGTCACAGCAGTCTCCAGCATTTGTAGAGAATGCATTTACCAGCTTTCGAGTCTAAAAAGTCATGAGGAAATACAAGTGCTGAACAATAAGTTGATTGTTCCCAAAGAGAATAGGAGAAATGAAACAGGGAACAAGAGCTCTTCCCGAGTGTAGTAAACGAGAGGTGAGCATTTGTTAAAAAGATGTATACTTTATATCTGAGCGATTTGGTTCGTGTTATGAAGCCTATTTTGCATAGATTTATGCTATAGTAATAGTGACGTTTGCTTGAACTGCGTTTGTGAAAAATGATAACCTGAATAATCGTGAATATGAATTTTCTCGAAATTTCTTCAAGCCTCAAATGCTCAAAAAATGCTTTCTACGCAAGAAGGAAAGGAAGGAACATCTGCGAATGGAAATGGTATGATTCTTTTTGTGTGTTTTTAGGTGTAGTTGAGAAGAAGAAGAACCAGACTTCTTTGTCTCAGGTGAATTCGTTCAAAGAATATGTTCCTTCTACTAATTCAGAAGGTTCGCAGAAAAATAATCCCTCAACAAAGGGTGAGAAACAAAAGTCTTCCCAACAGGCGAAACCTGCTCGTAAGGAAGCTCTTGCGTCAGCTGCCACGATGAATCCGGAGGCTGCGGAGTTTTTACCACAAACGCAATCCGAAGCACCTCGAAAGCAGCGGTCAAGCAGAAGGAATGGAAAGCGATCCGAGAAGCCTGTGGGGGGTTCCAATTCTTCCCAAGGCGCGGAGGCCATTCCTAAGACTGAAGAAGCGGCTTCCAAACCGAAGCCAAGACGGTCTAGAAAGAACAATAAGAAGCCTGCTGCTGCCCAGCCAGCTCAAAATGCTCAGCTTGTTCAAGGAGCTCAACCTGCTCAGGAAGCTCAACCTGCTCAGGAAGCTCAGCCTAACCAGCCTAACCAGCCTAACCAACCTGCTCAAGGAGCTCAGCCCGCTCAACCTGCGAAGCAAACTCCCAAAAAGAGCCGATTCGCCAAGAAACGGCAGCAAAAGCAGCAAGGACAGCAGCAGCAGCAGCAGCAGCAGCCCGCTGGTTCGGAGGCTTCGGGCCCATCGGCCGCAGCCCCTGCTTCGGCTCCCTCCGGTCCGAAGCGCTCTCGCAATCGTCGCGGCCGTGCCGCCAATCGAGACTGGGACGCACAGTCGGTGGCGTCGACCGTCTCCACGATGTCTACTCTCTCCACGCACTCCTCTCTCTCCGCAACGGATCTCCCGCTGCGCGACCGCCTGGAGCGCGAGCTGGCGCGGGAGCGCTACACGTGCGCGATCTGCATGGAGGTGATCCAGAAGAAGCAGCTCATCTGGTCGTGCCCGTCGTGCTACGTGGTGCTGCATCTCCGCTGCATGAAGCAGTGGATCGTGAAGTACCTCGACAGCGCCACGCTCGACTCCATTCCGCGCCACGCGCGCGATCCCTTCAAGGCGCTCGGCTATCTCCACGGCAAGGGCGTCGAGTTCGTCCAGACGCGCTGCCCCTTCTGCCGCAGCGACCAGAAGGTCCCCACCATCCTCTCCGGCTGCTTCTGCGGCCGTGGCATGCTCAACGCGCGATCCGGCGACGGCTCCGACTCCCACAACGCCGACGGAGCGCTCCTCCCGCACAGCTGCGGCAAGATCTGCGGGCGAAGCCGCGGGGGATCGTGCGTTCACCCCTGCGCGGACCCCTGCCATCCCGGAGCCTGCCATCCCTGCTCGGCGACCATCGAGCTGCCCTGCCAGTGCGGCAAGACGAAGCAGACGGTGCGCTGCGGCGTGGATCCGACCGCGGTGCACTGCGACCAGATCTGCGGGAAGCTGCTGGACTGCAAGGAGCACACGTGCACGCTGGGCTGCCACGCGGGGCCGTGTCCGTCGTGCACGGTGAGCGTGGAGTGTCGCTGCTACTGCGGGAAGCACCACACGACCATGCCGTGCGGCAAGACGCGCATGGCGATCTGCTCGCGCAATCCGGACTATCGGCCCGAGCTGATGATCACGACGGTGGCGACCGCCACGGAGGGAACCGTCCGCGCGGCGCTGTATAACGCGGACGTGCTGGGCGATCTGGACGGCCTCAGCGATCTGAGCGACGAAGAAGAACAAGAAGAACAAGAAGAACAAGAAGGAGCAGAAGACAATAACAACAAGGACAACAACAAGAACGACAAGGACAACGACAAGGAGAAGCAGGGTGAGGAGACGGAGAAACAGGGAAGCGTGGAAGCGCGAGCGGACACGGCGGCGTCGAAGGTGGAGCCGTTCGCTCTGCTGTCGATCCGGGAAGCGGGGATCGGCGGGTACAGCTGCGGAGAAGTCTGCGGGAAGGTCCTGGAGTGCCAGCGCCATCGCTGCGACAAGATCTGCCACGCGTTCAATTGCGGCCCCTGCCCCTACTCGGTGACCGCCTCGACGCGCTGCCCCTGCGGCAAGCACCTCGCCCTCGAGGTCAACCCGGCCTGGTCCAGCTGCGCCGACCCCTTCCCCTGCTGCGGCGAGGTCTGCGGCAAGCCGCTGCCCTGCGGCCTGCACACCTGTCCCCTGAAGTGCCACACGGGCCCCTGCCCCACCTGCGAGGCGCCCTGCACGCAGCAGTGCCGCTGCGGGCTCTCCAAGCGCTCCGTGCCCTGCTGGGCGCTGCACGGCGGCCCCGCGCCGCTCAGCGTCTCCCCCGAGCAGGAGCGCGCGCTGCGCGCGCCGTTCGTCTGCGACCGCGTCTGCAAGACCGAGCTGAACTGCCGGCGCCATCGCTGCGAGGCGCTGTGCTGCCCGCACCGCGGCCAGCGCTCCGACGGGTCGTTCCACGTCTGCCAGCGCGTGTGCGGGAAGCTGCTGAACTGCGGGAAGCACACGTGCTACCTGCCCTGCCACACGGGCCCCTGCGTCGCCTGCGGGCACGTGAGCATGGAACCCATCACCTGCGCCTGCGGCAAGCAGGTCATCCAGCCGCCGGTGCGCTGCGGGACGGCGCCGCCGGTGTGCAACGAGCCGTGTCCGAAGCTCTGTCCGAACGGGCACAGCCGGCACCATCCGTGCCACTTCGGGCCGTGCCCGCCCTGCACGATCCCCACGGACCGCATGTGCGAGGGCGGCCACGGAATCATCCACGGCGTGCCCTGCTACCGCGAGAAGGTCTTCTGCAACCGCGTGTGCGGCAAGCCGCTGCCCTGCGGCCACTTCTGCCAGCGCACGTGCCACGAGCCGCCCTGCACCACCGACGACGTGCTGCGCACCGGCTGCGGACAGGTCTGCGGAAAGAAGCGAGAGTTCTGCGAGCACACGTGCCAGGCGCCCTGCCACCCGGGCACGCCGTGCCCCGCGGTGCCGTGCATGTTCGACGTGGAGGTGCGCTGCCCCTGCGGCCGACGCTCGGAGATGCAGAAGTGCCTCATCGGCGTGAGCGGCGATCCGCAAGTGCTGGAGGACCTCCGCAACCGCAGTCTGGAGTGCGACAGCGAGTGCCGCATCATCCAGCGCAACCGCCGCCTCGCGGAGGCGCTCAACGTGGGGCCCGCCAAGCTCAACCTCCCCGAATCGGTTTCTCCGTTTCCCTTTTCTCACCTCTAGGAACTCCTCCACGCCTACGAGCTGGAGCTGCAGAGCTGTCCCTACTCCAAGGCCTCGCTGGGCAACGCCAGTCTCAGCCCCGAGCTGGTCACGTGGCTCGAAACCGCCTGCGACGCCATCGTCCGCAGCAGCCGGCCGCAGCCGCTCCCCGTGCCCCAGGCCTACGCGCCCTTCTTCGCCACCGTGCCTCCCCGCGGTTCGTCTCACGCGTAGATCGAGGACGTCGCCGCGCAGTACGGGATCGTCGCTTCCCGCGGGAGCAACAACGCCATGACGCTCGCGCCCGGCGAGGCGATGAAACGCCCCGGCATGCTGCTGTCGGAGGCGCTGGAGCGGTTCAAGTCGCTTGTGGACGGGCAGCGCCTGCACCCCGCGCAGCCGCTCCCGCGGAACGCGACGGAGCGCGACTACTGTACGCTTTTCATCCATGATTGTCAAGGATCCTGCAAAACGCAGAGCGGACTGCTGGAGTACCTGCAGCCCTACCTGCCCGCGAACCTCTACAAGATCAGGGCGTGGCTGCCGCGCAGCGGACTGCTGGTTCTGCTGAATTCGGAGGAAACGGCGAGGAGAGTGAAGCGAGATCTCGAGATGCGCGACCCCGAGTTCAAAGTGGATTTCTGGGCGGTGCGGGAGAAGAAGACGCAGAGTGGAGCGGAAGGAGCCTGCGAAGAGGCGGCGAGCAAGGAAGAGAAGGTAATTCCCACTCCGGCCGTTGTGACTGGTGTGGAGAAAATGCAGAATGACAATGCGTTTACTTCTCTTTCGGATGTTTGATGGGGCTTGTTTGTTGCACACCTTCATTAGGTTTTTTTATTCTCTCCGAAGAAGCGATTTATGGGAAACATCGTTGATATAGCGGAAAGAGTGCTGCTGGGCGTGTGAAATGAGTGTGTAGAAGACGATTCCGTTAGATTCGCAGCCAACACATGAATCGACTTTCCAACGAGAATATTGCATCGAGAAGGACGTGCGGCTCATGTCCTCAAAGCTTTGGGAGTTGCAGCAGTCTTACTACACATCTGCTTCGATACGTGAGTGGGCTTTTAGAAACCTTCCGCTCAGTTTTTTCTCTTCCTCCTATCTAGCCAAAGTATCGTTTTCGTTGCCCTGTGCACTTTAGTCTTATTCCAATGTGATTCTAAGTTATATTCGTGATATGTGGACTCCTTCTCTCGGCGAGAAGGTGATTATTGTGGATGTCGGTGCTGGACATGGTAGATTGGGTTTTTACATTGTGAAATACCTGCTATCGATGCGACATCTCTGGCCGGACCCTTACCAATGTCCGTTTTTGTAGTCGTCCACAATGTATTTTTTATTCGAAGATATGTCATGACCGACTGCTCCCCCCACATTCTCTCCTGGTGGAAAACCAACGAACTGCTCAAAGAATTCATCGACCGCGGTTACCTCGACATCGCCCTCTTCGATGTCTACAACCCTTCCGACCTCCTCTGCGTTTATTCCGGCCAAACCCTCTCCGCGAATACGCTCCACATCCCACCCTTCCTCATCCTCAACAGCGTTCTCAGCTGCCTAAAACAGGACGTTCTTGCTGTCCGCCCCACCGGCTTCGCTCCCGCGGTTATCTCCCTCCTTTCCACGCAGTACGAATACTTCCCCTCCGACCCCCTCATTCTCCGCAACCTCCAGTTTTTCCCCGATTCCCCATTCACATCCAGACTCAAGTGGAGTTTCCCGCGGGAATTCGACTCGGCCTGGGACCTCGGTTACGACCGAATCCCCGCGAAACTGCTCTCCGACCACTTCGCCGATTACATCGGCACCACGATCGTCGTTCCGATAACCGCGGTTTCTCTTTTATCGCGGGTGTTGTGCTGGTCCGCGGGGAAGGCGTTGATTTTGGCGGGAGATCGCGGCGTGATTCACCGCGACGAAGTTTTGGCGGCAAAAGAACCGTTCGTGAGTTTCGGCGCGGACGTGCGGATCCCCGTGAATTTCGACCTGCTTTCCCTCCTCGCCCGCGACGGCGGGGGTTTCGTGGCGCACTCGCAGTACCGCGGGGACTTCGTGATCGCGCTGCTGAGCTTCGGTCAGGGCGTTTCATCGCTTCGTCGGACGCGCTGGGCGTTTCGTCAGTGGTCGGACTGCGGGTCGCCGGAAGCGATCAGTCTGCTGGAGTCGTCGCTGTGCAGCGAGGCGATGCTTTCGCTGCGGCTTTTGCTGCTTCTGCTGCGATTGGCGCAGAGCGATTCCGACTCGCTCTGGCAATTCCGGTCGTTTTTGGTCAAGTCGGAGGGAGTTTTGGCCAATCAGAGCGTCGATCTGCGCGATCTGAAACTCCAGCTCGAGCAGGTAGGCGAGAGTCGCGGGGATCGCGCGTAGCTGGCGGCGTTCGTGTATCCGTTCCAGGCGTATCATGACGTGCTGTTCGACATCGCGCGGTTCTTTTTGGCGCTGCGGGAGTACGAAAAAGCCGCGGAACTGTTTCTGCAGTCCATTCGGATGTGCGGAGAGCACCACGCGTCCTGGTTTAACCGCGGGGTTTGCCTCTTCGAGCTCCGCCAGCTGGCCAAGGCGCGGTTCTGCTTCTTCCGAGTAGGGAAACGTGGAAACCTGAGAGGTAGGCGCTGGAACTGAACAACGGATACGAAGAAGCGAAGGAATATTTGCAGAGAATCTACGAACTCGACGCCGAAATGACGCTGCCGCTGCAGACCGTCTGGGAAATGAACGACCAAATGAACGAGGAACTGGACGCACTACGCAGGGACCACCCGGATCGGGGAAACGGGGAAACGGGGAAACGGGGAGAGAGCGGAGAGAGCGGAGAGAGCGAGAATGACGGAATCGGGGAAATGGAGAAACCGATGGATGAGTTCGGGGAAACTGGGGAAATTGGGAAACCCATGAGAGAACTCGGGGAATTGGTGAAGGAATTGGCGGAACCGTCGAAAGAAGCGGAGGATACGGTGAATGAAACTCCCATGCGTGGGCCAATCGAAGAAACGCCCAGCCAGAATCCCGATCCGGAGGCCGAGAAGCCGAGAGAAGCGAGGGAAGCGAGGGAAGCGAGAGAAGCGAGGGAAGCGTCTAGTTTTGGAGTGCCGAGCACCGCGATTAAAAAGGTGAATCGGCCCAAGGCAGCGGAGCCCTTGGAACCAGAGGAATCCCCGCGACCAGAGAAACCGATGGAGAAACCGGAGGTTGCGAATGAAACGCCCATCGACAACCCATTGGAATCATCAAAATCATTGAAATCATTGGAATCATCAAAATCATTGAAATCATTGAAATCATTATCACCATTGGAGCCATTGGAGCCTCTCGCGGATCCACAGGGACCCACGCAGTCCTCGGCGAATCGTTCCGAGGCGCCTCTGCCATTCCCTGAATCATCGGATCCTTCCGAGTCGATCCACTCGCTTCCCTCTTTGAATCTCGCGGATTCGCTGAGTCCCGCCGAATTCATTCATCCCATCGACTCCATTTCCCCGGTTTCTCCGGTTTCTCCGGTCTCTGTGCAGTGCGGAGTGCCGAAATCGGCCGAGTCGGTGCGTCCCGCGGTTTTCAGTACCGCGATTAAAAAGGCGGATCGATCGCGACTTTCGGATTTGAATTCCCCCGCGAAACCCGCGGATTCCCCGAATCTGGGCGAAACGCCCAAAGCCGGCACTCCCAGAACCGCGGGGAATGACGAAGAAACGTTTGTTTCGAGCGACGACGCGGCGGAAGAAGAAGAAGAATTCATGGTGGTGGAGCGATTCAACAGCGAAGAAGCGTTTGCAATGGACGGAATTCCCGGGAAAGAAGAAATGGAATTCGAAATCGAATCGGGCGAAGAAAAACTGCTGGAACAAGAGAGTGATTAAAGAAAACAAGGTTTGTAACATCGATTCTGTCTGTCTATCTGTTTGTTTGTTTGTTTGTTTATCAAAAATATCTTTATTATTATTATTGTTTCTTGTCTGTTGACTCTGCATTCCACAATTTCTCGAGTTTTTCGATTCGTTTCTTGTCCAGTTGGTGTTCCGATGAATTGTACGGACTTGTGAATTCGTCGTAGCGACGAGGATCGATCCACACGGTTCCATCGAATCGACAACACTCTTCCTCTAACGCAGAACTCACAAACCGCTGCATTCCACGTTCGCGAAGCCACATTTCAATCCGATCCTCCGAAATCGAAACGCCAAAGCGGAGTTTCAACTGCTCGCGAATTTCGGAGATCGAAATCGGCTGCGTCAGCAATCCACCCTCGATTAAAGAATCCAAATAGCTCAGATCGGCCTCTGCGTCGGTCTTCGGAACCAGCAATCGATCGATATTGATCGACAAATTCTCGTTTTTCGTTTCAGGAAGCAGCTGAACGAACGGTTCCCACTGTCGACTCGTTTTCCCATAGCAAAATCTAGTCGCTCAACATTTTCTCTTGGCTTCTACACGTGCTGCATCGAATCGTTCGTGGAAGTGCTCAGAAGGTCCAGCGAGAGTTTGTTTCGCGACGCCCAGCCCATCGTCATTAACGAGCAGACGGGATGGAGATCGTGCTCCGAAGGAACTGGCTGGATGCTCGGAAACGACGTGAACGAAAACGGCTCCTATCCTTTCAAAGAGTAAAAGAAAACGCCACGGAAGAGACGTGGATTAATTGAAGCGCATCGTCGTGAAGCGTGGGGATCACAGGAAGAATCTGCTCGCTTTCTAAGTCGAAAACTCCTCGATGGAAAGTATTTCCGAGGATTTGCGTTTGATTTCGTTGCTGAACGCAAGCCAGCAAAAGTGAACGCAGTTAACGAAACTCAAACACACATTCGAATTGAATCGCTGCGACTCAAACAGTGGATATTATATTCAGAAGGACAGCGACGACATTCGATCTTTCGAATTTGACCGGAATAGCGCCAATGAAGCAGCAACGATTTCGGATTTCGAATGTCAATCACGTTGATCTCGTCTTCGAAGCAGGCGATCAACGTGTTCCAGTCCTCGTCGATTCGCTCCAAAAAGACGCAGCGCTCTGCCGGAGTGAGAACACTCGATTTCTTCTTTCGGAAATCACAGATACGAATTCCGTCTGGGTGAGAGAGGTAATAAACGAGCGGATTTGAGGAAGATTGCAAAGAAACGGGATTTGTTTGAATGTAGGAAGTGTCAGTAATGTGAATGCTGCGAGTTGTCGTTCCTTTATCGATGGAGTAAAGCGAGCAATCTTGGGGAGAGGCATAGACAAACTCAGCGGCAAACGGAGAGGGCAACAAATCTCCGATAGCAAAAGGAAAACGCGTAGAGAGAAGTTCTGTCATTTGATCGGACTACGAGATAAGGACAAAAGCCAAAATAAAAAAACAGTATCCAACACTGTCGACGCGATATCTGTAAAGGGAATTATAATCGGGCGCTCCGAAAAACTCCGAATCGTACTTGGCGAAAAGTTCAGCTGAAACACATCGAAATTTGTTGTTCTCCAGTTTTCATCAACTGTCAAACCTTTCAAATATCCAGGTTCGTCCCCAGTATGAAAATAGACAGAAGGGTAGTCTCCCATCAAACAGGAATGAATAGCAACATTCCTCCCATCTCCAATCATAATTTACAAATTGGGAATGAAATAATGGTGAAAAATGAAAAAATCTGAGTTTTCATTGTTTCTAAATTGCAAAATCGATTTGCCTAATATCAGAGAGCTAGAATCCTTTGCAGAAAGTGTCGACGGTGACAACAAGATTAATCTCGTTTCAAATATGTCTCTCCGTCATGATTCGATTTGTTTTCCTCCTAGTTCTACTTATTCTGCTGTATATCAAAAATATGTGATAGCCGCATAAGAGTGTAACAATAATAGCATATTACAGCACGACGACACACACGCAGGGGTAAGAATCACAAAGAACAATAGAACATTCCGTATTATTGAAAATTGCTTATTTAGAAGTAGAGAATCGATGGCTGACGATTATGAGGATGACCTTTCCGATTATGGGTCTGATGATGTAATCTCTTTGCATAAATATTGAATCATAGCATGTAAGCAAGTCCAGAGGTTCTCTGTCAACAAAGACGAAATCAAAACGAGGAAGGAAGAAAGGCTCAAAGAATAAAAGCACAATTTTGCGAGAAATGCAGCAGATAAAGGAAGAGGAATTCCAAACGCCAATCGAGGGCGATTTGGTTGTAGCAAATATCACTCCCTTTTCCCAGTATATTTTTAAATTCTTTTCTATGTTCTAGTAGCGTGGATGACATTGATCGAATCTGTGGACGTCGCCCGAATCCCAACTCGTCGGATGGGTTTGATTACGCACTGAAGCACAAAGGAATCTCCTATCTGCATCTGGAATGGGTGACTCGTCAGCAGCTCGATCTGTTCAACTTCAAAAAGAATGTAGTCGTGAACCGTTTCCTAAAACGTCTCCAAGAGTCCGACGAGGACCCCAACACCGAGATTCTCTTAGTTCCCAGCGAGAACTTCCTCGTTGACTCGGTCATCGACTGCGCCGACGCCATCATCGAAATCAATCCCGCTCTCTACCTCACTGGCTGGCGTCTTCTCGGTCCCGAAGAGGAAATCCCGCGCGCCGTCAAAATCCAGAACCTCCCGCCCACCTGGCGACAGCGCCTCGGCGAGCCCGAAGAGAAGGAGCCGATCCGCGGGAATATGCTGGACGAATTGGCGGGCGAAAACCCGTTTCTCCACCTGTACAAGGACATTTCGCGGTTCTACCCGCCCAAATCCGCGAAAGGCCAGGTGGAGCCGGATATCCGCGGGAGCGTCTATCAGTACGAACGAATCTATTTCGTGAAGTGGATGGACCTGAGTCTGAGCGACGCCACGTGGGAGCGCGCATGTGACATCAACGTACCCGCTTCGATCGAATTCCACGTAGGACGACGCGAAGATCCAGCAGTTCGTCGACTACAACACCATTCCCCCGCGGTTACTCGCTCTCTACGGCGACTATCTCCCCGAGAACTACCTCTGTTTCCCCGTTTCTCCGTTTTAAGGGTAGCTCTGTTCCTGCCTCGGCCGCCGCCAGACCACCCGACGTCGGTGCCGGTGGTGCAGCAAATCACGAAGGGGAAGCGCGGACGTCCTCGGAAGATCGACGCGCCGCGGCGTCGGAACAAGCTGCGGATGTGTATCGACCCGAACGTGCCGGTAGTGGACCGGAGTGGGCGCGAGGGAGGCGGTTGAGTGTAGACGAGGCGAAGGCGAACGGGTATCGGCCGCCGCTGGGCGGCGTGTGGCGGCGGATTCTGAACATCGTGATGGTGCTGAGCAACTGCAGGCAGCTGGACATCGCGACGTTCTGCGGGTTCGCGCAGAGCTCGCTGAGTCTCTGGGTCAACGGGAAGTACTGCGGAGACACCAAGCAGATGCTGCAGAAGCTTAAACACTGGGTCGATAAGACCTATCCCGAGCTTGGAAAGTGGAAACGGGGAAGGCCGTGAAGGGTAGAATCGCGCGCGCCAACACGCAACTCGATCCGTTCTTGAAAGCCTGCCATCCCTGGCTGTCCGAGTACGTGCGAAGCCACCCCGAGCTCGACTTGAACGAGAGCGACGTCGACGTGCTGCTCGGCGTGCAGGAGGAACAAAAACCCGATCCCAAGCCCTCCAAACGCGCAGCCGGCGGCGCCAAGCCCTCCAAGCGCGACGAGATCTTCGAGATTTCCCCGTTCCCGCCCGCCACGCACAGCGAGAAACTCTATTCCAGCGACTTCGACTTCCAGCAGGCCATGAAATACTGTTCCGGGTTCGGACCCATCGGCACGTGCTCCCTTCTCCCCGAAGAGCCCGCCAAAGCCGACCAGCAGGACCGCACCGTGATTTTCCGCGTCATCGACGGCGTTTCCTACGACCCTCCCGCGGTTATCGCGCCGTCGCTCGCGGAGAAGAAGCCGGTGGTGCTGCCCCCCGCGATTGCGGCGCCGCTGCCGGGGAAAGTGGAGCTGACGTACGTGCAGAGCGTGGGGTTGGAGGAGGTGCGCGCGGTGCAGGAAGCCGGGCTGGACGCGAGTTATTCGCTGAACGACGTGATGAAAACAGTGATCTATAATGATCATGAGATCGATCCCGCGGGGTACGCGGTGCGCAACATGGTGATCGGCGTGATTGACAACACCGTGGAGAATTTCGGCGGGCTGCGCGCCTGCGCGGCGGAGCTGCGGAACGGGAATAAATTCGTGTTGGAAGTGAACAATCTGGGCAGCTCGGCGGAGTGCGTGCTGCCCATTCTCAATTCCAAGAGCGCGTTCGCTTTCAATCCACAGGTCGCAGCCGAGAAAACCCCCGTTTCCGAATCGGGAGCCTCGCCTGTGCCGACGGAGCCTCGAGAAGGGGAAACTGGGGAAACCGGGGAACCAGCAGCAGCAACAACAACAACAACAAAAGGGAATGAAATGGAAGAAGAAGAAGAAGAAGAAGAAGAAGAAGCAGAGGAAGCAGAAGAAGAAGGAGAAGGAGAAGGAGAAGACGAGGGCGAAGAAGGAGAAACTGGAGAAACCATGGAAACCGTAGAAACGCCGATCAAAGAAGAAGAAGAAGAGGAAGAGAGTGTGAAGGTGGAGGTGAAGGTGGAGAGGGAGAGCGCGAAGAAACCGGCGTCTTCCCGCGGGCAGTCGATCGTGCCGTCGACAAAGATGATCGCATTGAACCGGGCGAAGAAGCGCGCGTTCGCGGAGAGCTGCGCGCGCAAGAGCGTGACGGTGGACGATCTGATGTGCATGCTGTTTAAGCCGAGTCGTCTCAACGCTCCCATCGCGTTGCTGCCGCCGCCTCCGGCATTGCCGATGCGGCCGAGCTTTTCTCGGTACGAGTCGTCCCCGACGTACAAAAACGATCTGCGGCTGCGGGACTACCAAGTGGTGAGTTTGAATTGGATGGTCGAGAAGTGGCGGGCGCACGAAGGAATGATCCTGGGCGACGAAATGGGCTTAGGGAAGACGATCCAAGTGATCGCTCTGCTGCACCATTTCATCACGGTGGAGAACCAGGAGGGCCCGTATCTCGTGATCTCGCCGCTGTCGACGCTGAAGAACTGGCTGCGCGAGTTCGCGACGTGGACGTCGATCCGCGTCTGCTGCTACCACAGCGAGGGGAAGGGGAAGGACGAGCGTCAGCTCATCCAGGCGTACAACTGGTTCTTCAAGGGCCTGCCAGCGCGCGGGCTGTACAAGTTCAACGTGCTGCTGACGACGTACGAGGTGGTGATGAAGGACTGGGGCGTGCTGGGCGACATCGCGTGGGAAGGCGTGGTGATGGACGAGGCGCACCGCATGCGGAACAACAACTGCAAGTTCATGCAGTTCATCTCCAAAGTGAAGACCGAGCACAAGCTGCTGCTCACCGGCACGCCGCTGCAGAACAACACGGGCGAGCTCTGGCCGCTGCTGAACTTCATCGAGGTGAAGGAGGCGGGGACCATGGCGCGGTTCAAAGAAGCGTTCGGCGATCTGCGGTCCAACGAGCAGGTCGAGAAGCTGCGCGCATTACTCGCCTCCTGCATGCTGCGACGCGTCAAGGAGGACGTGGAGAAGAGTATCCCGCGGAAGCAGGAGACCATCATCGTCATGCAGCTCACCACCACGCAGAAACAGTATTACAAAGCCATCTACGACCGCAACCGCAGCTTCCTCTACAAGGGCTGCAAGAAGTCCACGGTCCCTTCCCTCATGCACATCGAGACGCAGCTCCGCAAGGTCTGCAACCACCCCTTCCTCATCAAGGTACCCTCCTCTCCCCGCGGTTATCTCTAGGGCGTTCGCGAGAAGGAAGAACAGGCCGCCCTCGAAGCTCAGCAGGCTCAGCAGGCTCAGCAGGCTCAGCAAGCCGGCGAAAATGGCGGCAAAACCGCGGAGGGCGAAGAAACCGCGGGATCCTCGGCGTCTTCGGGTTCCGCGGTTTTGCCGCCCATCGTGTCGTGCTCGGGGAAGATGGTGCTGCTGGACAAGCTTCTCCCGCGGTTACAGTCGGAAGGGCACCGCGTGCTGATCTTCAGCCAGGTATTCCCGCGGTGCGTGGTCGATCGTAGTTCGTGAAAATGCTGGACATCCTGGAGGAGTACTGCCAGCTGCGCGCGTTCAAAGTGGCGCGGATCGACGGGCAGACGAAGGGGAACGACCGGCAGACGGCGATCGACGCGTTCTCGCGCGAGGACAGCGACTGCTTCATCTTCCTCCTCTCCACGCGCGCTGGCGGGTTGGGCATCAATTTAACCGCGGCCGACACGGTGGTGATCTACGACTCGGACTGGAACCCGCAGAACGACTCGCAGGCGACGGCGCGCTGCCACCGCATCGGGCAGAAGCAGGAAGTCTCCGTCTACCGCCTGCTCACGCAGAACACCTACGAGTACGAGATGTTCGAGCGCGCCTCGCGCAAGCTCGCCATCGAGTCCGTCGTCCTGGACCGCGAGAAACCCGCGGGAACCGCGGGAGCCGCGCGGGAAGACTCGGTGTTGCCCGAGGAATCGACGATTTCCGCGGTGGATTCGGAACGAATCGGCGGCGACGACGCGATGGAAATCGAGTCGGTTTCGCTGGGAGAGGAGCGGAGCCGGCTCAAAGATCTGCCGAACGACGAGGAGGACTCTCCCCGCGGGGAGAGCGACGACTCGCGGGACACGAAGGCGACGCTGGAGGACGATCCGTCGATCGCCACGGAGAAACCGGAGGCGCTGTGCGACTACGACATCCCCGAAACGCCGGTTGTGGTTCCGAAGAAACACCGCGGGCGGAAGCGGACGAAGCAGCGGACGCTGGAGGACGAGCTGAACCCGCTGCGACGCAGCAAGAACGAAGTGGAGGAGATGCTGCGTCGCGGATTGTACAAGTGCGTTATGGAGGACGCCGATACCGACGCGCTCGATTTCGATTTGGATCTCGACGCCATTCTCGCGGGGACACACTCCGTTTCCACGGTTTCTCTCTTTGATGTAGGCCATCGCGCCGCATGCTGCGGATCCCCGCGAGGACGCGGCCAACCCGCATGCTGCAGGGTCTCCCGCGGGGGGCGGTACGATCTACACGAAGCGGCAGTTCAATCCGGAAGCGAACGCGTCGCAGATCGAGCTGAACGACCCCGAGTTCTGGGAGAAAATGCTGAACCATCCGGACGCGGACACGCTGTGGAAGCGACTGCAGGACACGCATTACATGGAGGACCACGCGCTGGTGCTCACATGGACGCGCGATCTGGAGTTCTTGGTGAACGAGCTCTCCGAGGAGCTGCGGGAGGACAACACGAGCGAGTACGCGCTGCACGAAGCGGAGACCGTGAATCGAATCCTCGTCACCGCGTCCGGAATGCCCACCGTCTTCGGCAAGAAGCTCGCGCAGCAGATGTTTCATTGGATCGAGCAGCTCGAGACGCTCCGCTTCCGCCGACGCACCACCAAACGACCCGGTTTCCACGATTCCACGATTCGATGTAGACGATCTGCTGCTGAGCGCGCCGACGAAAGCTCCGGACACGATCCAGGGCATGTGCTTCCGCTGCTATCGCGAGGAGGGTCCGGAGAGAGAGCACCAGCTGATCGCGTGCGCGGGTCGCTGCTGCCGGCAGTTCCATTTGGGCTGCGTGGGGCTGAAGCAGGCGCCGAGCAAGTGGAAGTGCCGCGCCTGCGTGACCAAGCAGCGCGAGTGTTTCCTCTGCCATCGACGCGGACAGGAGGGAGACGCGGTGGGGAAGGGCAAGAAGCGGAGCTTCGCGTTCTACGAGCAGTGGCTCCGCGTGAACGACATCGAACAATTCATTACGCTGTTCGGATCGGGCGGAGTGATCGACGCGGATCGCAGTCTGTACCAGATCGACGAGCCGCTGATTAAATGCGCGCAGCACAACTGCGGATGCTTCTATCACATGTCGTGCGTGCAGAAGGCGGCGGACCGCTTCGTGCGGTATGAGGAGCAGCATCCCTGCATGTTCCGATGCCCGCGGCATTATTGCAGGCTCTGTGGAAAGAATGCGCTGAATCAAGTGTTGTTGGTGTGTGTAAAGTGTCCGAACGCGTTCCACGCGAGCTGTCTCAGCACGATTCCGCACCAGACGCTCGTTCGTAAGTTCATTATTTGTAACGAGCATGATGCCGAAACCAAGCCGTCGAAGCGGAAGAGCGCGACGGAGACTGCGGGAAAAGACGACAAACGCGCGGAGAAGGAGGGCGGCCGCGTGGAGAGCGCGCGGAAAAGGATGCGCGTGACGCGCCGCAAGAATGCTCCGATCGCAGAGAATGCCGATGGGGAAGACATGGAGCTGTAGTTATATTATACACGTATCGTTTTGAGCGCTTGTTTGTTGGGATGACACATGTGAGAATGGACCAATCAGAAGACGGGAAATAAACTAGCTTAACTATTTTTTTTAGATTTTGCTATGCGGATTCGAGAGCGGTTGATGGTACTCATGGGATACGTGTCAGACACGCCCACAGCGAAGGATGCACATGACGAATGTTCTTTCCCGACGCTTGGGTTTGACAGTATTCTGCGGGTAATGTCCTATCTCGACAATCAATCGCTGTATCAGGTCAGTTGTACCAGTAATTAGTACGTTTGACATTTACCTTTTACCCTCAGTTTTGAAAATATTGTTTCCCAGAAGAACCTCTGGGAGCACTGTATTATTAATCTTGACGAAGTGAGTCTAGACTGCTTGTATGGCAACCTTCGTAAATATGGCCATCTCATTTCAACTCTGACCATCCGAGGTTCCTGCAATCGCAGGCTCTATGAGTACCTTTATTATTTTGTCCGTGTCTACTGTATTAACCTTCGCTTCATTTCCTCCTTTGAGGTACCTCATCTTTTCCCGCTCGGCCCAGAAGCTCGAGCCTTTTCGATTCCTTTTCCATCCATTGCTTCTGAATATTCTACTCTACAAGAAACCAATGAACGCTATATGATGTTCTCTACACACGATGGCATTTCACAAAGTGTTGAAACCCATGGTCAAAGTCTTGAGGGTTTCATGCAGAGTGTGTGGCAATTCGAGATCAGTAATCACATCCAGCCCGGCTTTTCGATTACCTTTTGCTGTTACATCAACAACTATTGTGTTGGCTCGTTTACTCTTAATGATTTTACCGTGGCTTCCATGTATGCGATTAACATGATGTTTCCTATTCCACCCTGTTCGCTTTGCCAAAGACGTTCTCGCCTGTCGCTGTGTGTTCGTTGCAAGAACCAGCTTCCTTTCGGAGCTGGCTACGTACGCTTCTCCTCCACTGGTCGCATTTCGTTTTTGAAGGGACTCGCTGATGTTAACTACATCGACCGTTCGGTTCCTGCGTACCAGACCGCTTGATTTTGCATGCCCTTTTCTTTTGGCGGAGTGTTTGTTGAAGTCATTCGGTAGTGAGTGGAGTAGGCAGGTATGTGTGTTGTGCGCAATTCGTTTTGGAAGGTAGGAGAATCCGTTGCGTAGAAAAGGAGTTGAATATAAAAGGCACCGATAGACTTGTGATACTGACGAAACGTGTTTGGTAAGCAAGAGTTACAGAACAAAATAAAAAACTCAATCCGACAACAGCAAACACTCACAAAATAGAACGATACCCTCCATTGTTCATTCCTCCCCCAACCACTGTCACAAAAACATCGCTTTGCGATCCCTCCTTCCCCTGTTTCCAACAAATCGCGAAATGCAACAAACAGCGCAAACAAAACTACCAATTCATTCAATAACCAAATTGTTTCAGCTCGAAATACTTAAAAAGAGGTTTTTTGATCAGCTGCTGCATCACCCATTGCTTCATCTCCGGACTCATCTGCCCCACCAGCGCCATCAGCGTCCGCAGGTACAATTTGGTCTCCTTGCACGGGAATCGCACATAATCTAGCAGACACGCCATCACGAATCCCATCAGCTGCATGTCATGCTGCACACTATGCAGCAACTGCGCGATGCACTCGGCCGCGCTCTGCGCGGGAGCGTTCTTTCCCGCGGCTTTCTGCACTCGCTCCTCCTCCATGATCCAGAACATCACCACGAACCGCAGCACCGCGGCGCTGTGATCGAACACGGCGCGCAGAATCGCGTTCATCGCCGCCTTCTCGCGCATCACGGCCTCGGCGGCCTCGGTGAGCCCCAGGCGATCCAGCTCTTCAACGTACGCCATCACCGGCTCGGCGCGAAGCGGCAGCACGCGCGCCAAGAAGGCCTCGCGGTCCTGCCCCGAGAGCTCGAAGTTGAACTCGGGCGGGACGTCGTCGAGCACGCAACGGCGCGCTTCTTGCGGGAGATAGCGAAGCAGGAGGGAGCAGCGCGCGGCGAGGAAGCCGGGGAAGGACCCGCGGAGCAGGGAGAGAATAGAGAGGCCGTTGCTGGTGTAGCTGCAGAGGAACTGGGCGAAGGGCGTGCGCATGAGGGAGAAGAGGGAGACGACCAGGTCGCCGGCGAGGGAGACGAGCGGCGCGGTCTTCTCGGCGATGAGCACGCGGAGAACTTGCGGCCGCGTGAGCAGCTGCAGCCAGGAGAAGAGAAACGCGGGGCAGGCGGTGGGGTTCACGGCGAGGAGGAGCGCGCAGAACTGCTGGGCGAGCTCGGTGCGGACGGGCGGCTCGGGCTCGGCGACGACGACCTCTTTGAAGAGTCCGGCGAGGATGCGGAGGAAGAAGAAGGGGTAGAAGTTGCGGATGTTGAGGTCGTGCATCTCGAAGAGGAGCGCCTGGACGACGTCGAGCTGCGCCTTGAAGACGAGCACGCGGTTCTGCGGGGCCTCGCGGTGCACGAGGATGCCGAAGAGCACGATGACGAGGTCGCAGATGTAGTTGGCGGTGCGGTAGGGATCGTTGAAGTTGGTGAGGTAGATCTGCATGGACTTCCAGAGAAGCAGGTAGAAGGTGATCGAGGCGCCGTCGTCGCCGATCGACTGCACCACGCTGTCCACCAGCTCGACGAGCTCGTCCATGCGCTCGGGGTAGTAGAGGACGTCCGACTCGCTGTTCATCCACTGCACGAACGAGTCCATCTTCTGCTGGAGCATCTTGCACACGTCGCTCTCCAGCGTCTGGTTCACGTGCACGCGCAGCGCCAGCAAGCTCTGCTTCTTGCGCAGCGACTCCACCAAGCTCACCACCGACATCCGGCTCCCCTCCACGTCGAACTCCTTCTTCCCGTCTTCGCTCGCCGCCAGCTTCTCCAGCGTCTCCATCGTGAACGGCAGCTGGTCCATCGTCACCAGCTCCCGCATCAAGACCAGGTCGATGATCACCAGGAAGACGAAGAGCTTGATCGAATAGTTCGCGAACCCGCACGTGAGGAAGCTCCGCAGCATCTCGTCCAGCTTCCCCAGATCCAGCAGCTGATTGGCCGCCAGCGTCACCACCGCGGGGATGCACTGCGGCATCGGCTTGATCTGCGCGGCGATGTCGTGGAACTGCGCCGTGATGTACTGCGGGAGATTGGGGAACTTGTTCTCGACGAGGATGCGCGCGATCCGCATCACCAGATCGAACACTAAAAAGTTCGTGTACACCTTGGGCTGCGCCATGTTCTTGACGAACAGCTCGACGATGCGCTTGTCCTGCTCGGGGATGTGGGTCTCCAGCTTGGCGTTCTCTTTGAGGCGGCTAATGCAGGCGAGGGCGTCTTCGAGCTTCGCGTTGCCCATCTGCTCCGCGTTCTGCGCCAGATCGAAGAAGAAGTTCAGCTCGCGCGCGATGTACTGGTAGTACATGTTGATGAAGCAGTCGTGCAGCGCTTCCTGGCTCAGGACCACGTCCTGGAAGGTCAGCGCGTTGCTGTTCCCCGCGTTCGGGGAGTACAGCGACTCCTGCAAGGCGGTGAGCTCGCCGTTGGAGATCTTCTCGTTCTCCGTCATGTCCGCCTCGCTCACCAGGTCGTGGAACTTCTTCGACAGCGCCTGCTGCGTGTTGCTCACGATGTTCCCCGTCATTCCGCTCGCGGCGGGGCTTCGCTCGTTCTTGGAGGCCGTGAAGTACTCGCGCGGAACGTCGAGAATGCGGGTCTTGATGTGCTGGTAGACGAGATCGTGCATTCCCAGCTTGATGTTCTGGTAGACCACTTCGGCGTACATCTGCACCCACTTGAAGTACTCCTCCAGGCTCCAGCCCTGGCGACGATACATCACGTTGAGCAGGTCGAGCAGTCTGGCTTCCCAGTCGGCCACGCGGATGAGGAGCAGGCTGTCGATCAGCGAGAGCGCCGCGTTCTTGAGGTAGCCCTCCAGTTTCTGGTTGTCTTGGACCTGCACCAAATCGCGGAGGAACATCGAGTACACCGACTCGAACACCATGATCGCCAGATTGTCGAAGACGTGGAATCGGTTGATCTCGCGGATGAAACTCTGCACCAGGTTGCTGATGTTCATCTCCCCTGCCGACATGCCCTGCTGCTGCATCTCGTAGTTGTTGTTGCCATTGTTGTTGTTACCATTGTTGTTGTTGTTACCGCTGCTCCCTCCATTGTTGTTGTTGTTGTTGTTGTTGCCGCCATTATTATTGTTGTTGTTGCCATTACCACTATTACTATTATTATTATTATTATTACTGCTGCTGTTGTTGTTGTTGTTGTTGTTGTAGTAGCCGCCGTTTCCACTGTTCATCGGCATGGAATGCGGCTGGAATCTCCGCGGAACGAACTCGCGGATCTCCTTGTTCATGAGATCGCGCAAGCCGTGGCTTTTGGCCTGGAGATCCTTCAGCTGCGGGTAGTTCTTCAAAAAGTAGTTATAGACGTCGCTCTGCGACGCGTTGGGGTTGAAGTCCTGATTGTCCGTCACGTCCGGGATCGCCAGATACAAGTCGGAACGCACGAACTGGATGCTGTCCTCGCGGTACTTCATGTACTCCAAAAAGTTCTTGAACAGCCGCGCGAAGTGCTCCTTAATGCCCGGGACCATGTAGATCTCCTTCAGCAGCGAGAGCAGAGCGACCAGCCAGGGCTGCGGCAGCTTGATCACCTGACTCTCCTTGCATCCGCGGAGCAAGAAGCACACGAACTCGTAAACGTACCAGAGTCGTTTGTGGTAGAAGGAGCTCAGCAGCAGGTCGGTGAGGTTCAAGTGCAGCTGGCTGAGGCAGATGTCCTGCCCGATGGTGAGCAGACCGAGCCACCCGCCCATGTTCTTCAAGAAGAGGTGCTGCTCGTTCAGGACCTTGATGTCGCTGGTCAGAAGCTCCTGCGTCACCTGGATGGAGGTGTCGATCACTTGGTTGAACAGCTCCCGGCCCTTCGTCTTCACGAGGTAGTTCACCAGCGAGAGATAGAGCCCGTGGTAGTTGTCCTGCCGCTCCACGCGCGAGCGCACCAAAAAGTCCACGAACCACTTCTCCGTGTCGTTGGTCAGCAGATCGCTCAGATCGTTCACCTTCGCGCTCAGATTCATCTCCGTCAGGTTGTTGATCAGCATCGAAATGCGCTCCTTCAGCCGGTCTTCCGGCTCCGCGTAGTCGATCGTCCGCGTCACCGGAACGATCTCCTTCTGGATCTCGCGCTGCCGGTTCTGCAGCTCCGACAGCTGATCGTTCGTCGGCGACAGCATGCGGTCCTGTGCCCCCATCGTGCGCGCCATCTGCGCCTGCATCTGTCGCTGCGCCTGCATCTGCGCCTGCATCTGCATCTGCATCTGCGCCTGCATGGGGTCGCCCATCTCCATTCCCTCGCCGTTCGCGTAGCTCGCGCCCTGCTGCTGGTGCTCCGCCACGAGCTGCCACAGGATCTGCGACAGCAGCGTCAGCTTCTGATTGCGCACTTGCAGGAAGAGCTCCTTGGTGATTCGCAGGCCCGGCAGGAGCGAGAACCACTCGCCCAGGACTTGCTGAAGGAAGTCGGGGTCGGGGACTTCGGGAGCGAGCGCGATGAGCTTATAGACGATCTCGCTGACGCTGTCGGGGGTGAGCATGTTGTAGCAGACCAGCATGTTGATGAGCTTGAGCAGATTGGTCCAGAGCACGTCGATCGGGAGAATGCTTCGGAGCAGCAGCAGAACCACCTTCGCGACCACGTAGCGCGGAATGCCTCTCGACACCACTTTCTGGTGGAGATCCTGGAAGAGCGAGACCGCATTGCCGGTCTCGAAGAGGATCGCGTCGATGCGGGACGCGACGAAGTTGAAGTTCTCGCGCCCGGGAGAGAACATCTTGCTGTGCACGTCCTCGATGCGACTGGCGCGCTCCGGAGAGATGTTCAGCTGGTTCTTGCACTGCAGCAGGAACACGCAGGTGTACTCCGCGTCCAAAAAGTTGTCGATCACGCCGTAAAACCCGTCCAGATAATCGTTCAGCAAGGGAAGCAGCAGGTCGATGAGGTACCATCCGGCCGTCTCCCAGTACTGGAAGATCGCCATGCGCACCTTCTCTTCCTGCTTTCGACAGTGCAGGAACGAGAAGTGCACCAGCATCTGCAGATTGCGGATCACCAGCGACGCGGGCACCGTCGAAAACATCGTGACGAACTGCGGGATATCGCAGCACGACTGGTACAGAATCTTGAAGAAGTTGTAGTTGTTCATCTGGTCCCAGCCCAGCTGGTACGCCTTCATGATCGTCGTCATCGCCATGTTCGCGTTCTTCGCCAGAAACCGCTCCATGACCTCCTTCAGGAACGCGTCCTTGTGGAACTTCCGCACCACCAAGGTCTCCTGGATCAGAACGGACGCCGTGAAGTCGATGTACGTCTCGTCCCAGGGCCCGTTCAGCTGCACCAGCGCGTACATCATCACCGTCACGTCGCGCGCGTTGCTCCACAGCGACGTGTAGAGCCGCCGCGCGAAGTCCGACGTGCTCAGCAGCTGCATGAACACGTGGACCAAATCCAGCGACGTCCAGCAGGACGCGAACTCCCCCGCGGCGATCTTGCTCGGCTCCTACGCTCACAAGCCCCCCTCAAATCGCTACGATCTGATGCGGCGAGTTCTTGAACACGGAGATCCGCTTGCTCATGTGGATCAGGAAGCTCAGGAAGAAGCACTGGCTGCCTACGCCTCACTCGCCCCCGTCGCTCGCACTCTTGTTCTTCCACAGCGAGTACAGCCAGTCGTTCGGGAAGCCCTGCTTCAGCAGCCGCAGGAAGAGCGGCACCAGCCAGGTCAGGCACTGCGGACTCACCACCTCGATGTTGGGGCTGTCGAACAGCTTCACCAGCTCACCGAAGTCCATCGCGGGGAAGCTCTCCCGCACCACTTTGCTCAGCACCTGCACGTCCCACTGCGCTCCCTCCGTACCCGTGATGTGGAAGTCCTGCTTCACCTTCTGCACGCTACAACTGAGACCATCCCCGCGGGACTACTCCGCCTCGCGCGCCTGCGCTCCGCGATTGTCCATCTCAAACTGCGCGGGGTCGCCGATGGCGCCGGCGACGAGAACGGCGAAGAGCCCGCGCATGTCGAGGGTTTTGCCGGGCTCGCCGGCAATGCCGAAGATCGCTTTCAGCGCTGCTTCTGAGCAGCTGGGACCGATCCGAGCGAGGAGGTAGCTGATGCGAAAAACAGCCTCGGAGTGGCAATCGGAGAGAAGTTTGGAGGGACCGCGGATCTGGGAGTGAGGCGAGGCAGAGAGAGGAGGACAATGCTAATTACACGAAATAAAATATCATCTGGAATGGACGGACGTCTGTAAATGCTGTCATATATACTGGTGAGATAGCGTTTTGCTTCCTAGCGCTGAGACGCAGGCCTTAAAACGAACATTGCATATTGGCTGCTTCTTACACTGGGCGGCGCATGTATACACCCACACTAAAACGTCGAGATCATTGTTGCTCCAAAATAAAATTGTTTGCAGGTGATTGTCATCAGGAGGAAAACCTATGGATCTGAATGCCTACTCGCTCAACGCCCCATGCTGTGCTCACCTGAATTACCCAGGCCTCTGATTGATGACGTCGTGGAAAGAGTGTGCGGAATACGCCCATCAAATACTCCTACGCATGACCAGGGAAACCAGAGAACAAAATACCTTCATCCGGTTCACCGTATCGGTAGGAACACTCGGATCAATAATAGCTTCGATTAAGCAACTAATAATACATATGTAGGCGTCCTCCGGAGACTTCATAGTGTACTACAAATTAGCAGGGCCATATCGCATCTACCCTGGTCAACTTATCCGTTATGTCCTGACTGCCATCAAATAACTTATTGATAACAAGTTTGATCTCTTGAAGCAGTTGTATATTGCTATCCATCGATTTTTTAGGAACTGCCATGATCCAGGTCCACCAAATTCCCGCGGGAGATCTCTTTTCAAATCGGAAAAGATAACGATCCGCCGCGCCGCGAGGCTCGTTTTGCCAACAAACACTCCTTATAGAACAATCCATTCGATTTAACCACACGGCTTACAGCTTGGCCAATTCCGCAACCACATCCGCTCCACGCGGGAGAGCATCAAAGAACGCCTTCCGCGCCTTCACCAGCTCCACAGTGGCCTGGACTTCCTCCTCCGAGACGGGGGCCTTGAGATGGACCATGGCGAAGGACTGCAGGGTTCCGAGATCGTGAGTGAACGCGGTCTTCTTCTGCTTGCGCTCTCTTCGGTCCTTCTTCTTCTTCTTCGGCTCCTCCGCGTACAGCACCTCCTCCTCGCGCTTCAGCAGCGTCATGCCCTCGGGCACCTGGAACGCCGGCTTCGCCGCGGCGGGCGTCGCCGTGGTCTTGGTCTGCAGGCCCTTCAGGTAGACCAGCAGGTCGTCGCACACCGCCATTTCCTTCTCGAACGGGTGGCGCTTCAGCATCTCCTCCTCCTCCTTGCGCTGCTGCTCCAGCTCCGCGGCCTCGCGCTGCTTGCGCTCCAGCACCGAGCGCGCCACGCGCATGCGGCGGTTCTTCGAGGAGAACTCGTTGTACTGGCGTCTCTGCTCGAAGTACGCGTTGCGAACCTCACGCTTCTCTTGGCGCTTCGCGTCGATCTTCGCCTGCAGCTCCTTCCACTCGTCGTTGATCTTCTGGTAGGGGTCTTCGCGCTCCTTCTTCTCCTCCTCGCCTTCCTTCTTCTCCTCCTTCTTCTCCTTCTTCGCGCCCAGCTTCTCGTACACAGCGTTCAGCTTGCCCTTCAGCTCGTCCATCGACGTCTGCAGCAGCTTCAGCTCCTCCTCCACCACCTTGCGGCGAGCCAGCAGCGGCTCCACCGTCTTCGCCTGACGAAGCTGGTCCTACGCGTCACTCCGCACCGCACCGCAGCTCCTACTCTCCATCCCTTGATCTTCGTGTTCAGCTCGCGCTCCTGCTTGATCGACATCGACTCCGTCTCGATCTTCTCCTCCGCCTCCATAATCTTCGCCTCCAGCTCGCCGGACTGAACGTGAGGGAGGTTGCTGATCTGCTCGCGGATCTGCGACAGCTCGCTGCGCAGAGCGGAGGCCTTGCTCTTACCCGTCTAGGCGTCACTGCAGATACTCTAGAATACGCTGAACTCGGCAGTGAGCTCGTTCCGTCTTTCCAGAAGAGCCTTGCGGGCGGCCATATCCTCCATACGAGCAGCCTATTCGTGAAGCGACCTGAGCACTCTCACTCTCTCAATTCTGAAGCCCTCAGAAATCATCTGTCTCTCAATCTTGAGTTCCTCCATGCGCGCAAAGCAACCAGAAATTTCCTTGTCGATAGCCTCACACTTGTCGTTCATAGCCTTCTCGTTCGGCTGACTCACTCTTTCGAGCGGGGTTTCCACATACTTCGTCAACTCTTCGATAGTCATTGTGTCAAAGTCCTCGCGAGGAGCAGGGGCAGGGGTCTCGTTACTGGTAGGAGCAGCCTGAGTTTCAACGTTCTTTACTTCTTCAGCCATATTCTACCACGAAATGAGAATTTTGTTCAATGTCTCGCTTTCACATAGTACCTACGCTTACGAGCACGTACTAATACAGTACTTCTTAGTATTATTGTTTATCATGCAGCATGTCAAATATTGGGACGGAACTCACTTTTATATGCCCTAACTTTTGGTCCATATTTTCTATTCATTATTAATCGATGGTAAGTACCTGATTCGACTTGTGAGTACCCCAAATACTGCCTGCCCAGTGGCCTCACTGAAGTAGGAATCAATAGGGGTAATAGAATGGTTTTGTGTTGTCTTGTCAGTGCTGTCTGTCACTCGTTTGACTTCAAGGAACCAATACTTATCGCTCTGTAGATTGCTTTAATCGTCGTTTTGACAGTTTCCTGAGTTGCTTCTTCTGTATCTCCTACATGGTTTTATGGGGAAAATTGATGTGGTTGTGATTTGGTTTTTAGGATGGTCAGAAATGAGAGAATTATCGAGTTTGGTTGTTGTGTGTTTAGAGGTCTGGATCGTTCGTTTTCATAGGGAGTTTATGGGTGCAGTGCGTTTTTCTTTTTAGAATAAGACTGGTATTGGTTTACACTGGAAAGGTTCATTAAACGAGGTTAAGGAAAATTGTTTTTGAAAAATAGAACAGTGAAATTGTATGGCATGAATAGAATAGTTGCCTTGTGTTGTATTAGGTGATTAGCGTGTAATGAGAGAGAGAAAGGAAGGTTGTTATGCCTGAGGTTTTTTTTCTCGTTCCTTGGGCGTGCTAGTGATTTTAGAGTTTAGTTATTGAGTATGATGACGTTGTTGTGGTGTGTTATCCCAACTATGCAGTATAGGTTGTTATCAATAAATGTGTTGGTCCTTTGTAGTGAGGAATATAGTGGGTGTACATTTACTAGAGGCTTAATATTTCTTCTTGTCATACCACATTCTCTCAATTTTATGGAACAAATTGGAAATCGTTGATTACTGTAAGGCAGAGAATAGATTGAGATATACATTGTTGTACCTTTGTTCAGACTAGTTATTCAAAGGAATAGATCCATTTCGAAGTGTTACTCAACAAATACACAATGTAGTACAAAATAAAGGTGGTTTGCATTAATATTATTATTGAAACTACTTTAACAAACACTTGCCTCTTTGAAAAGATGTAAGAACATACAAATAGGTTGTAATTACACATTCTTGTCAAGGGAGATACTTAAAGCCACCATACCATGTATTTCTGGAAATACAACATAACAATCTCCAATTTTTTGAATTCCAAAAATCAGAGATACTGCTTTTTTCTCAATCTAGCCTGTTTTTATCTACGGTTTTGTAGCCAATCGGTTTGAATAACGAAGAAATGGATATTGACAAGCAGATTATTGATGAATTTGAGGAGAAGGTTGTAAACCACCCAGAAGTAAGTTCTGATAATTGGGTTCAATGGTCAGGGATTTGTAAAAGGGGATGAGGAGGTCCAAAAGACAATTAAGGCCGTCATGAAAGTGTTGTTTGATTTAGGTAGAAATAGGACTGGAATTGTTATGAATAGCCAAGAAACTGGAAATGAACCAGTTCGGAGAGCTTCCAGAGTTGTATGTGGATGGATTCGATGGGGAAGGAATATGGGAGCAAATTAGAATGAGGGTAGTGTAGTTTTGGGGTTGAATAATTGTTAGCAAGAGCCATTAATGAATGCTTACAAGAAGATGGTGGAGAGTTTAGAAACTGTGGAATTAGATACAAGTAGTGGTGAAGAAGAAGAAGAAGAAGAAGAAGAAGGGAAAGAAGAAGGGGAGATGGAAGAAGAGGAAGGAGAAGGTGATATGGAGGAGGAAACGGAAGAAAGCAAGGAAGAAGAAGAAGAAGAAGAAGAAGAAGAAGAAGAAGATATTGATACTGAAAAGGAAGGAGAAGAGGAAGAAGATGATGGTGATGGTGATGAGGAAGTTGATTCTCATATGGAAGAAAGCGATGTGGAACAACCTCTAGACGACAAAACTCTGTGGGAGCAAATGCAAAAGTTTGGCGACTTTGAAGAGGAAATGCTCGAGAAAGAGAGGGAAGGCGGCAATGAAGAAGAAGAAGACGAGGACGAGGACGGCATCGATATGATGGCTCCTCTCAGTGGTATTCTTGATTTTTCTTTTTAATCTAATCCATTAGAACAAGAAGATAATGAAGAAGAAGAAGATGATGATGATGAGGAGCAAAAGTGATCGTGTTCTCTCCCCTCCATCGTAGATCCCTCAAAAAGCAAATCGCCGAGATGGAATCCACGCTCGTCCAGCCGCGCAGCTGGGAGCTCCAAGGCGAAACCACCGCCTCCTCCCGCAAAGAAAACGAACTCCTCGAAGTCGACCTGGACGTCGACCGCGTGGGCGTTTCAGCCCCCGTTTCTACGGTTGAGAGCACGCTCTCGCTGGAAGAGCTCATCAAAGTGCTTGTCCGCTTCCCTTCTCACGTAGAAACGAATCCTCGACCAGGCCTTCGACGATCCCGTTCGCAAAGCCGCGCCTCGCGAAACCGCCGCGAAGCCGCTTGCGGAAGTGTCGACGGAGAAGAGCGAGAAAGGCCTGGCGGAGATCTACGAGGACGAGTTCATGAAGCAGATGCACAACGTGGACAAGAAGAAAGACGAGCTGGACGCCAAGAAACGCGAGCTGGACGTGCTGTTCCGTCGCATCTGCGTGGCGCTGGATCGTCTCTGCAACGCTGATTTCACGCCCGCAGCGGCCGTCAAGACGCTCAGCGTGACGAGCTCCGCTCCCGCACTGGCGATGGAGGAGGCGCTGCCGATGAGCGTGAGCAGCGAGTCGCAGAAGGCCCCCGAGGAGATCTACAGCAGCGATGTGCGCGTGCTGAAGGGGAGCAGCGAGAAGGCGAAGGAGGAGAGAGAGCGAGAGAGACGCGTAGGAGAGACGAGAAGAATGCATGGTAGACGAAGAAGGCGCAGAAGAGAGCGAGGAAGGCGCAGGAGGAGAACGAACTGCGCGAACGCGCGGCGTACGATGAGAAGGCGAAGCGAATTTTGGAGAATCGCAAGGTTCAGCAGTCGCTGGAGGTAGATTGATTGGGAAGGAGGCGAGGAGTAGGCGAAGAACGTCAAGAAGGGAGTGGTGGTGTCGAAGGGAGACGACTTCAAGTCGACAGCGTTCTTCAGGAAGTTGCAGGAGGAAGCGACGATGGCGGTGGATGACATCAAGTCCAAGATGATCGAAACGAAGAAGAAGGTGGGTGGAGAGTCTGCTAGTTATAAATTATAAATTATAATTGGTTCCGTTCTTTTATATGGGCTGTTTGTTTGAAATGGCATTTGCCCGAATTCTTTATTTCACTGCTAGGTTTGCTTATTCGATCCTTTTTCTACTTCAGTGTAAATGGAGGAAGAAATCATCAAAGAAATCGTAAACGACGAAACAATGCACTGCGCTGCCTGCAATATCACCCTTTATAATGAATCTGTGTGGGAAGTACATAAGAAAGGAAAAAAGTGAGTCCAGAATTGGAGAATAAGTCATAGACACTTAAAACTGTTAAAGCACGCAATTGAAGAGCGAAAACTCCAGAAGAGTTCTGGAAAAGCCCCTGTAAGTGTTTCTACAAATACGGACGACTCGGTGAAAGGTAGTTTTAAACACATTCGATCATTTTAGAGAGTGGACCCATGGGAATGAAGGAGGACGATCCGATCATGGCTTTTATTTCAGGTATGGAGGACATGAAGCCCCAGTTAAGTGAGAAGGCAAGAAAGAAGCAGGAAAAGAGACGAAAGAAGCAGCAAGAGCAAGATGAGAAGAACAAGCTGGTAATTGAGACACAGAACCGCGAACGAGAGGAAGAAACCGAAGCAATCAATCGCCAGGTTGCCTCTCTGAACCGCCACGTAAAGTACGTAGCGGCCGATGGTAACTGCATGTACCACTCGATCGCCCAGCAGCTCGCTTTGGAGGACTCGAAAATGAAATCGCCCATCGCCTATCGTGTTATTCGCAAGAAAGCAGCCGATTCTTTGAGAGAACATAAAGACGAATTCGCGTTCTTTTTAGACGAAGGGGTCGACTTTGATGAGTACTGCAGAAAGGTGGAAACGTCGAACGGTTTGGATGCGAGAGAGAAGTGATGAGTAGAATGGGGAGGCCAACTTGAGCTCCGTGCATTATCGCTATCTTTGCAACGGCCGATTCGTATTTATAGTGCAGATGCACCTGTAATTGTAATGGGGGAGGACATGCCTGTAGGAGTGTGTGCGTGTGTTCATGGGTGTAGGGATCTCCGCTGTTTTTATCCTATCACAAGAAGTATTTGTCTCTGGGAAATCATTACAATACGTTAATTCCGTTGTAGTTTGTTTGTTTGAAAACTGGTGAAATGGTGTGAGTGTTGGAAGTTGGTTTGTGAAGGTCAGAAAAGAAGAAATGGGAGAGTATAATGAAGTGGATGACAGGTGATAAAATGTGGATTATTTGTTGTTGATTACAAATGGTTGATAGAACGATGGTGATTGGGTGGCTTTCGTTCTTTCGAATGATAATTGATGGAAAGGTAGCTAAGAAAGTGATCAAGTGATTGATTGACTTGGTCCAACTCTCAACGCTCAACATATTAGGGATTTATGTTCTATAATTCCATTTATCCGTTCTCTTTGGGTTTATTCTTTCCAATCGATTGTGGATGAGATACCTGGAAGTGAGGAACACTTCGATATTAATCCCAATATTCAGAGAGTTCTATTGTTAACATTTGTATTTTATTCTATTTAGTATATTATCAGCAGTGCACATATATCAAATCATAACAACGAATCCCAATTACATCTAATTCCATTATCAATGTTGTTGTTTTTATCAACTGTAAACAAAAAATGAACAACCAATCACTTGATTTACTTGATTACCTCAATTCAATCGTTTGGCATTTCGTGATTTGTCATGCGTAAGGTTTATTTCTTTAGAATATTAAAACTTGTTTGATTATTTCTGTTTGGACACTTCATTATTCAACTTTTTAGCATTCTTAACATCGATAACATGAAAGATTGGCACATGCTAGCTAAAGATACCTGGATTGTGATGACGGAAAGAGTCCATCGATAATAAGATCTTACATCGATGACCAAAGAATGATTGATAAGGGGATTGGAACAAACAAAGAAACATAGTATGTATTGAACATATAATGATCATTGAATAGATGAAGTGTGTAAATCTAGTGATGGAATTACTGATCGATGCTAACAAGATCAGCGAGAATGGAAGAAACATCTATGAATCAAATCAAATCAATCAAACTATACTCGAAATTGATTTCGATCGAACATATTCGAATGAACGACCCCACTTATTACCAGGTAGCTTGACATTTTGAAGATTTGGAATATCTAAATACTATCAATATTCAATATGCAGAAACACTTTCCAGTGTCACTAAATGAGGATTCTTGAAACTATATTCTACAGAAGTTATTGATGTTAGATTTGGAAGATCTACAAAACAAATCATAACAAATCAATTCATTTTTACTTCGAAGTGTCAATGAACTTGAAGAATCCATTTTTCCAATTAGTGCCCATTCACCGAATTGAATGGATTGTAATGATGGAAGATCTATATCAATCATTTCATTCGAATTCATTCAATACTTTCAATTATTGTTGATAAGGAACCAAGGAATGCAAAATCACCTAATGTAATGGATTGTAGATTTGGAAGATCTATGCATCATTCATATTCAACATCACATCATTTCTTACCTCGAATTACAAATGAACTAGAAACGAAATTCCATGAACCACTTCCAATTGTTCCAATTTGAATGGATTGTAATTGTGGACAATTCTTCAATTCAAGGTCTCCTCCAAAATCACTGAAACTATAATCACCAATTTGAATGGATTCCAATGATTCACAATCCAATATGTGCAATGACTTCGATTGGTTGTTTGCCATCTTGTAGTCCCAGTTTGATGTTTTTTTCTGAGTAAATGAATTGCTTCCGATTTTGATAGTTTTCAATCGATTCAATCCATCGATTTGGAATGTTTGCACTGATTCAAAACAGTCATCGCCGATTTCGATAGATCGTAGCCACTTGAATCGATTCAGATCCAATGCATTCAAATCGTTACAGCAATTCGATGAAATCGTCAAATCGGTCACTTGCAAACTCACATCGGTCCATTTTGTAGATCCAGTGACGCTGAATCGAAGAGGAGCAGGTTCTTCGCGTTTTGGAGCAGGTTTTGGAGCAGGTTTTGGAATCGGAGCAGGAGTAGGAGCATAAGTAGGAGCAGGAGCAGGAGCAGGAGCAGGAGCAGGAGCAGGAACAGGAACCTGAGCTGGTTTAGCATCAAGCATGAGCTTTCGAACAGGTATTATTTGGTAATCGAACTTCCCACCAATTAGATCCACTCCTCTCACTTCCTTTCCATCTTTCCATTCACATTCTCGAGTTGCCATTCCAGTCTTTCTATCAATCAGACATCCTTTCCCTTCACGAATAAATCGTTCATTATCTTCATCATAGCGAAATCCACCCACATAGATCGGAATTCGTTTCGTTGGATCCAAACTACCTGCTCCGTTTCGCTTCAATTCGGTCATCGTATCTCCATTGAAACATCGAATCACTTCTTTCAATACTCCTTTGCTCCACATCCCTTCCACAGCCACACTTCCGCTTTCTTCATCGTATTCGATGCCCCAGCCTTCTTTCATTCGTCTTTCGTTGTACCCTCCGTGATACAGCAAATGTCCCGTTCTGGCTGACCAGATTTCCATTCGAAGCCCTTTCTTGTGGTAAACAAAACGTTTGTTATTCATTTGCTCCAAAATATACTCGAATCGCTGACTGAAATCGGCTCGACCATTCTTGTATCGAATAAACTCCTCCGATTTCTTCCCATTCTCGTCCTCCTTCCATTCTTGTTTCAATACGTTATTTTCAAACAGATACACATCACCAGTTTCTGAGCGTAATAGAAATTCGTTCTTGTGCTTTCCCTGGAATCGCTGAACAGTGCATTTGATTCCACCCTTGACCAGGGTTTCAGGGTCGCCGAGCGTCACATATCTGTCAAGTAAATACTCAGTGAAGCAAATTTCAGTTAAACAAGCTATTCATTAACATAGAAGATAACACAATGCCTTCACTGCTCATGTTAATAAATCTTGATTAAAAAACAAAAGAATCATAAAAAACAATCGATTATAAGGACGACTTACATAAATATCGAAATGATATTCGGATGTTATTGTTGATATTGAACAGCCTCTAAATCCTCCATAAAATAGAAAAGAGCGGGAGATTATCAATTCTTTTCTTGTTTTGTACTTTTCGACTCTCTCTATCTGTTATCGGGGTTAATTTATTGTAGTTTTCTCTTTCTGGAGTAATTTGCTTTTTTGGTGTTCTGTAAGTCATATTCCATTATACTTGCAATCTATATCTACTTATATCTATTGCTACGCACTCAAATGCAAAAGATGACCATTATCATATTATCATCACTTGATAGTGTGTATTCATTATTCATTCGATTTTCCGATTTAAAAAAACATTCTCATTACTAACAATGATTCTGCTTTTCCCTCATTCAATCACTTTTCATTGTTATGATATAGTCAGCATTAGTGTATCGTTTGAACTTTGATTCATTTGATTTGATATAATTTGCTAAATTTACGTCTTTTGAACCATTTCGTTTAGCTTTGACCTTATGATTTATTTACAATCCCACTACCATACTTTTGAAATAACGAAATAATACGAATGCGGGCTATTTGATCAACTCACCATACGAAAACAAATGCAGGCAAGCAAGCAAGCAAGCACCCCAATTCGGCTCAGAGCAATATCAACAATCGTTTTTACTCCCTTCCTCATCCCATTTCTCTTGAATAATACAATGCAAGCAGAATTCTACTCTATCTCCAAATAACCTATTCACTAAACCATTGTAGTTTCCACATATAATACCAATTCAATATTGTACAAAGTAGCTTTTCCCAACCCAAAACGCTCATTTTTGTATTCTTCTCTCACTCCTTTTTTCTCATACAATGGAAAAATCGCTCTTCTCTATAGAAGATGCGTGGATACAAAAGGCAGAGTATGGATATCCATTTTCTAGAGAAGAACTTCATCAATTATGTTCCAAAGTTAGAAATAGCAGAGTTGTTCATTTCTTTAGGTATCTGAAATATTAAAGAAGGAAAGCAATGTGCTTAGGATCCATATGCCTTGTACAATATGTGGCGACATTCATGGTCAGTTTACAGATTTAATCGAACTGTTTCGTGTCAACGGGATAGTTCCCAGTGTAAACTATGTATTTCTAGGTGACTACGTGGATCGTGGCTATTACTCGGTAGTCTATGAGGTTTCAATATCAATATTAGATCGAGACAATTGTGCTTCTATTTTCCTTAAAGATCCGCTATCCTGAACGAATCTTCCTTCTCCGAGGAAATCACGAAAGCCGTTTTCTATCACATTCGTAGCCTTTCTTTACCCTTGCTACAAAGGTTCGGCTTTTATCAGCAGTGCATGAGGTACTACAATGATGAGAGTGTGTGGAATGATTTTATGGCAACCTGCGATTGCCTCCCTCTCTGTGCTATTATTAACGATAAAATCTTCGCAGTTCACGCAGGAATTAGTCCTTCTCTCCACCACATCGATGAGATCAACTCGCTGAATCGCTTCCAAGAAATCCCTTTGATATCCTTTCTCCCTGCCACAGCCTTTTTCCTTGATTCGTCACGAAGGTCTTTTCTGCGACTTGCTTTGGTCTGATCCCTCAACGCTCAAGGGGTGGAACCCTTCTTCGCGAGGCATTAGTCAGACGTATGGGCAGGACGTTTCAGAGCAGTTTCTGCTGGATAATCAGCTGAAATGCATAGTTCGTGGACACGAGTTGGTCATGGAGGTAGAATTGGTAGCCCCGTTCAACAGCAGGGCTATAAACAGCTTCACAAAAACAAGGTGGTGACGGTCTTCTCCGCTCCAAACTATTGTTACTATGTGGGGAACAAGGGCGCCTATGCAGAGGCCGACGAGTTGGGATATCTTTCTTTGTGAGACTCATGCTGCATCGTTCATGTGTAGTTATCAGTTTGACTGCGCTCCAACGCAATAATGGTGTTTGTTCACAAACAATCAACAGAATGTCACAAACTGCTTGAACCATGATCGCTATTCCTTACCACCATCACTCATCCTCACTATTCGGAACGCTCGAATCGCAGAACACCCAAGAGAATCGCGGCGGAATCACCTCTGCCGAGTTTATGTAATAGTACCCCGAATCAACGGATCGTCGCAGCACCCACGAGCTCTGCCCATCCTTCAACTACATGCCATACGACCTCCGTTTCTACCTGCCGAAAGATCATACAGCCGTTTTCGCATCGGAACACGGGCATATTGCAGAACATGCTGGTTGTGGAGACGTACAATCCCTGCACCGACAGATCGCTCTGGCTGATCACATAGAAGCCAGAGGGGTGCGCAGTCGAGGTTCGAACTGCAGTGAATGGGCAGGTTTGCTCCTACTGAAGCTCCGCGAGTGCAGCGAAATCTGCACGATAATATCCTGAACGAGCTTCTTCACGTCGTCGTCCCACTGCTTCGGACCCACCACTGACATCACGTTGATGAACAGCGCTGTGACGGAGTGGCAGATCTGCTCGGGGTGGAATCCAGTGCCCATCAGATATTGGACTAGACTCGAAGAACGATCAAGCCTCTACGATTCGATTTGAATTCGTCCAGACCATGAAACACATTCCCAGAATACATCAGCACAACGGAGTTCATCATTCGGAGCGGAAAGGGAACGTTCACTACCCGATAGTCTACCTCGCTCGCTTCCTACGCGTCGAGTTTAGATTGCGCGTTATCATGCTCGATTCATTCGTGTCGTACGAAGCAGCTACACATTACGCGAGGAATTCAACAAGAACGCGACACTTTTGGCTACACATTAACCCATCTCCACGACCCAACCGCCTCCTCTTTCTTCGTTTCTTGAGCCTGCGGAGTGCTCTTCGACGCCTCTGCCGGCTTGAGTCTGTTGTAGAGAAACGACATATCATCTCGAGAGAGTTGGTTGATCACATCGATCAGCTCGATAAAGCTGGATCGCTCTCTTGTCTACACAGAAACAGCGCATCCGAATCGGTACTGTGAGGAGGATGTCCTTCGAACACGCAAAATGCAGCACATCGAAGCCATTGGTTCCTGGAAGCATTTCAATTTTACAGGGTAATAGATTCTGCGCTCCGGAAGGCTCCATGCCATAGGAGACGTTTGTTCCGTTGTACCAGAATAGCGCAACTCCGAAAGGAATAAGACCAAATTCTAAGAATAACAAAATATGATCGAAAAGACTATCAGCATAGCGCAAAAGAGGAGCCGAAACACGCATAATTCGAATAAGTCTACGGATCTTAATCTCAATGTGCAAAGCAAACTTTTCGGTAAAACTCTGAGTATTTGTCAAACCAAAACGAATGAGAAAAGTTCCCTCGAAGAATACACTATCATTCTGGACTTCTTTCATGGCTTCCCTTTCGATGTTGCCACTCTCTGTTGTGGAGAAATACCGTTCAAAGTAAATGACCAGATTTTTGTTCAAATACCTAAAGATAAGCGAAGTGTTAGTAGATACCTTTGGATCAATCCGACAACTTCATTTGGATCCAATCCCACACAGAGTCGACCATTAACTTTAAGAATACGATCTCCTCGACGAACACCATAAAACGCGGTTTGCAATGTGGCCTGCTCTACAATAATATATTTTCCATCCATATTAATCGTAATTCCAAGTTCTCCTAGACGTCAGCGTCAAAATCGACTCCCACCCGAATTATTCGGGTATTCCACAGAGAAATGAATTGAAGTGAGCATAGTAAACTCTAGATAGAATGATAGTCTGAAAAATAGATTATTAGATATACGTTTTCACAGATTTTTTTGTGTTAAATGACAACAAACATTTCAAAAGTTACAGCGCAAACGGATTTGCATGAATCGTTATACTCTCGATAATAATATCTCGCTTGGGACGATATTTCTCATTTACCTCAACGGCCTCCATCGCCTGCAGAGTGTCCATTCCATAAATCACCTTTCCTATGATTGTGTCAACATTGTCAAGTTGGCTTTGCCTGTCGTAAATGATATAGAACTGGCTTTTGTTCGTATTCGGGTGCTTCTTCGCCATCGCTACCATGCCGCGACGATCAAACTAGAGAAATATCAAAGAAACAGTGACCTACTTTAATGCTTGGATGGAACTCGTCCTCCACCGGAATTCCGTTAATGCTTTCTCCTCCCTTGCCGGTTCCTAGTTACAAGAAGCGCAGAAACAAATACCTGTCGGATCTCCTCCCTGAATAATGAATCCTTTCATATTTCTTCGACTCAACCCACCCTCAGACAAACTACCTGTGGAACTTTGTGTTGTCGTAATATCCGCTTGCACAGAGAGCCAGGAAATTCTGCATATCATACTCTTCTTTTTACGATCAACCTGCGTGTTCTTAGGGATCAATTCGCAGAACAACTCAATCTTGAGATCTCCCAAGTTCGTGTGCATCGTGAGCGACTACACTCCTTACCCTTCCTCCTCCTCTCCGTACCATTTCGAAAGCTCCAACTCGTTTCCAACAAACACAGAAACTATCCTTATTTCACTTTCTTCTTCTTCTTCTTTAAATACTCTGCGGCTTCAATCCTTCTTCATACGGCTCCAACTCCGTCGTCGACGCATCCACCACTCTCCTCTCGTTAATCACGAACACATCCATGACCGTTCCCATCGCCGAGAAGTCCTGAATCGTCCTCACATGGCTCACATTGTCCGTGATCGTCACCGTCTCCACCAGCAGCGGCTTTCCCGTCCGAATATCCACCGCCGTCGTCATCAACAGATACGGAGACACTTCCACCGTCTCCACTTTGCACTCCGCGTACATGCCATCGCTCATCTCCACGCGCAGCTTCCCGTTCCCGATCGGCTTATACCGGATCGTTCGCACCGTCACCAGACCCGTCCGATCCACCGAATTCCGCGCCTCGACCCAGTATCCGCGGGGATTGAACCGGAGTTCGCAGGAGGTTATGGGAGAGGGGCTGGCGAGTTCCTGGGAGTCAGAAGAAGTCCAAGTGGAGGGTACCTCGGAGGGAACGACGCTCTCGCCGGACCATTTGCCTTCGAGGCGATGCATCACTTCGAAGATGAATCCGCCCACGACGGAGACGAACATGCTCTTGAACACGCGATTGGGGAACTCGTTGCTGTTGTAGAGAGGGTTGAAGGGGGTTGCGCGCTTCGGGACAATTGCGGACTTTTTATTCACTAGGAATGAGGATTGGATGAATAAACGTACTTTCATCGACATCGGGAACCATTACAGTGGGATATGTTTCCCATTCGTCGCCCTTGTCCCAGGTCTGGTCCCAGACACCGTAGACAGGATCGAATCCGGCATGGTGATAATCTCTAGAGGTGAGAAAATGCAATAAAACAAGCCTACTTATTCTTGAGCGCTTCATCGTGAATCAGTTGAGCCAATTCTCCGTAGTTCACTTTCGAAAACGAGTTGACGTTGGAGTACTGGTGGAAAACGGTGCTGTCTTCATGAAGATCATTCTCCATCACCGTTGTGTTGTCCAGCAGCTCATTACCATTGTACTGCAATACGATATAGTCCGGGTGTTCGCAGAGTCCGGTGTCGATATACTTTTGTTTTACCATTGCGATCAGATCCGTTCGTTTGACGTGGATCCGGATATCCTTCATGCCATTGATTGTGCCATCCGAGTTGATACATTTTATATGGATATCAAAGGACTGAGGAGTGACTTCTGGGGTCGATGGCTTTTCTTCGCTGGTCGGCGAAGTCTCCGTATGAGTATCGATAGGTGTTTCAGTCTCCATGAAAAAATCAAAAATTTGAAAAGCGCTAAAAATCCTTTTCCAGAACTTTCCGTTTTTCTGGAACTTTTTTCGATTTTCCTCTTCTCTTTTTTGAATCAGCGTGAATCGACGTGTAGTACTGTGTGGTACTGTGTAGCACTTTGTAGCAGCGAATAGCAATAGAGATCAACGACTATCAAGCACCGACGAGTATCCACACGAATCAACGTGGTTCCACCCTCAACAACGCATGTCAAACCAAACAGCCACATCGCAACATTACAATACAGAACGCGTCAAGGCAAAAAAGCAACTTAGAGACGAATCTGGTAATCTCCGGACCGCGTCATATATCGGACCCACTTGACGGTCTGGTAGGAGCTCTTCTCATACACCTTCAAGAATCGGACATGGAGTCCGGACGCAGTGAAGGACGGCACGGCAAAGATGATATTGATGGGGGGCTTGGACCAGACCTTCTCCGTGGTCATCTTCAGCATCTTCACCTCCGCGGCGAACGTGACCTCCTGGCCTCCGGTGAGCTTTCGCAGCGTCCAGTCGATGGTCTGGTCCTTGGCGTTGTAGGCGGCGGTGCCGAAGGCGGCCTTGGGCATCACGTTGGCGGTGTTTGGCGGGACGGGGAGCTTGATATCCACGTTCTGCGCCGAGACCTGCTTGCTGAAGTTGGCGATCACCTTCACGTTGATCTTCAGCGTGGTCCCGCTGATCTCCTCGTACACCGGCAGGATGCGGAACGGCAGGTTGATGTTCTCCGTCACGCGGTACTTCATCAGCTCGAACTCTCCGTCGGGCGGAATGAACGTGATCGTGCGGTCCTGGTCGAACCGGCCCAGCCGCACGCACCGGTGGAACGAGCAGTCGTCGATCTCCACGCCCGCGCCCTTCCCGCGCCGCTGCCCCTTCGCCTTCTTCTCGTTCGAGATCAGCAGCTTGTCGTTCAGGCCGAAGCGGCACTCGGGCATGCCCGTCAGGTACGCCTTCATCACGATCTTGCCCACCACTTCGCTGTGCAGCACCGCGCCCGTCTGCGAGATCAGCAGGTTCACGCTCTCCAGCGTGTCGATGAAGATCTCGTTCTTGCGGTACGTGATGCCCTCGCGACGCCTACCCTCAACGCCATCCCCCTTCTCTACCAATCGATCGCTCCCGTCACCTGCGAGGTAATGCTGCTCGCGTCCTCCTCCACAGCGTCGTTCGCCTTCCCCAGACGAATCAGCTGCTTCATCAGGTCGATCGCGCAGTTCTGCGGGTATCCGTAGTCCAGCACTTCTGCATGTTACGCAAAGAGGGAAGATCAACCATCGAAGATTTCGTACACCACAGAGAACTTCTCACGAAGGTCGTCCTGCATGTTAGATCCGCGCTTCTGCATCGCCTACAGCCTTGTAATCCACGCCGAAGTAGCTCTTGAACATCTTCACGAGATGGAAAAGGAAGTGGAAAATCATGCCTGCCAGTCATCCCGATCCACCGCGTCCTTACCGGGAGAAGCGTTCTTCTTCGTTACAGCGACAATGTAGTGGTCACTGTTACGGACATAGATGAAGGTCGTTCCGTCAATGTACGTAATAGGAGGATTGCTTCCAGTATCCTTCTTTGCAATAACGTTTGTTCGGAAAGCATCGGCACTCTCTTTTGTCACGTCACTTCTATCCACTCAAAGAAGGATACTGCAAAATACCGATAATAACGAGACACGATGTTCTTTCCCTTTGCATCAATCAACAACAACGCGCTGATCATCTTATATCTATGTCTATTTAGGATAAGATTAAATGTTCAAAAGATTGCAAACAAATCACACGATCTACCTTTTTTCAAGCAATAATGCTTGTATCAATGAAACCCAGGGGGTCCAAATGAATAAAGATTGTCGTGGGAAATGAGATGAATGATTTTGCACCCCCACCCATTTAGCGAAAATCAGGATTTTCTCAATAAACATTGTTAAGGAATAGATATGCTATATGAATTGTGAATAGAGTTGTATAGTAGCGGTGATTGATAGAATATTGATTGATTGTGAGAGAAAGTCATCATAATGGAATTGTATATGTATCGAATGAAAGGGATGAGTGTAATAAAGAAATAGGATACAATAGAATCAAAAGTCGAAATTGAGTCGTTTTTTTGTCAACCCTATTTTTCTCAATATCGAGGGAATGGAAGCATCACAAACGCTGGAACTGGAGCGATCGATTCGAATTGCGATAGTTCCGCTTGGGAACACGCATGATAACGTAACAGCGGCAGTTCAACATTGCCTTTCTCTAACTGAGTAATAAACGTGATGATCCATAATATCCAGAGTTGTGAAATTGTAGAGTAGTCTAGAATTTGAGATTTACTCAACTGGTAACAAATGGAGAAAAATGAATCGAAATGAATGTATTGCACAAAATAATAAGATGAATGAATACAAAATCGATCATATACCTTGTCGGAGGACTAAAGGGCTGAAGTCGATTTTAGATTGCTTCTTTGTAAGTCCTTGGAATAATCTACATAATGAGTTTGTTTATTGCCTCCAGTTTTCCTATCTTTAAATTACAAATCAATCAAATATCACTTTTTCTACTGTTATTTGTATTCGTATTGCTAATCTCTCTAACATATTATATTGGATACTCAATATCTTATATAAGAAAGCATTGAGTGTAAATATTATTGTGCATAAATCGATAGAAAATTGTCAGTTATTCTAACTATAAGGAAGCAAATGTCTTGTGATTTTGTCGAATTGTATGTATGCAATAAATAGATATGCTTATTAGCATGAATACTGTTTATAATAGATTAGACAATTACATAGAAACATCTAGTATTGACGAATCCAAACAAGAGCTACTTGAAAAATACTTCTTTTCAACAAACCTAAATGACCAATCCAATACCATATCTTCATTATTTGGAATATCTAAATACTATCAGTATTCAATATTTATAAATACTTTCCAATGTCCCTACACAAGGATATTAGAAACTCAAACG